ATATATATCCACCAAACCCACCTAAAGCTTCTCCCAAAAATTGCCATCCGGCTACTTCGTACCCTGTTATCGTCCACCAATTCATTGCTTACTATTACCCATTGTCGTTCCAACACCACTCAACCAAATCTGGTGGAACTGTAATTGCGGATTTTTAAATGCCAAAGTGTGTGATGACCATGCCTGGATACCCTTTGGAGCGTGAGTTTATCATTAAAAGGAATGCGATTCCCCTCCTTGTCAAGACCGGTTCTGAAGACAGACAAATGTGCCCCAGGTTAGCCAGCATAATTTGTCTAATGGTGTACAGCTTACATGTTGGAAGTAGCATTAGGATTTACCACCTCGTTTATCATCACCATCAGCAGTAGCTGCTGCGAAAACCTGGTAACTTTTGTACGGTGGTTCTAGATGCTACAGTTTCGTTCACTAATGATTTGGGCAGGTGGGTTAGATAGCTTCGCATTGGAGGTGATGCCTGACGCAATTGATACGTCAATACAGGGGTGTCAGTGGAGTTTTTATTGGGGAGATTGGGACGGGAGCTGTGCACCGAAGGCAGTAGCTTGAGTCATTTCTGACAGTGTGTAACCATTTATATGTCCCGTCTTGAAGTCCCCATCCAGGAAGACGGCAATGACCAGAGAAACTGCGTTTGATGGTAGTGGATTTTTAGCCATTAGTTGACCGCCTCTGGCCCTCTTCTACCCTTCACGTGGTTGTGCGAAAAGGGCTGTTTGAGGGATCCGGTCGATTGGCATACGAAGCACGTGAGCAAGCCAGCACAACCTATGAAATGCGATCAGTTCATCTATCGTGGGCGAGTTGTTTCTTCCGAAAACAGATCAGTTACTAGTTTAAAGCTTCATCCAATTGGTTGGGCTCGATGACCTATCGGGCAACTCAACCAATCTTAACGTATGCAAACGTGAAAAGATATGTGCACCTGTCATGACCAAGATTACTGGGATTGCAATGTCGTCCTACAGTACCATAAGGCTTAGGGAATCAAACAGATATACAACTTACTAATCATGACCACTGTTACCGTATGGAATGGAGTCTTTCCAGTATATCTAAGGAGGACAAGATGGCTCAGTGGTTAGAGCGCGAATTTACTGACCGGAAGGTCCGTGGTTCGAACCCGACCTCTGCCTCTGCCTCTCGACTTCCCCTGTCCAGGCTTGGGCAACTTGGCAGTATTCCAGCCATGGTAGCACATCAGCTCATCATCATCATTATCAGTTGCAATAACCGCATACATGCCGTACAGTGGTTGCTGCTGCCATATTTTCGTTCACCGATGATTTGGGGAGGTGCGATAGGTAGCTCTGCACCGTCAGTGGAGTACCATAAGGCTTAGGGAATTGAACAGATATACAACTTACTAATCATGACCACTGTTACCGTATGGAATGGAGTCTTTCCAGTATATCTAAGGAGGACAAGATGGCTCAGTGGTTAGAGCGCGAATTTACTGACCGGAAGGTCCGTGGTTCGAACCCGACCTCTGCCTCTGCCTCTCGACTTCCCCTGTCCAGGCTTGGGCAACTTGGCAGTATTCCAGCCATGGTAGCACATCAGCTCATCATCATCATTATCAGTTGCAATAACCGCATACATGCCGTACAGTGGTTGCTGCTGCCATATTTTCGTTCACCGATGATTTGGGGAGGTGCGATAGGTAGCTCTGCACCGTCAGTGGAGGGTATTGGGAAGGGAGCTATGCATTGAAGGCAATAGTTTGGATGCATGGGCGTCAGTGAGGGCGCGACTAGGCCATGTCTGACAATGTCTCTAGCCATTGATGTGGCCCGTCTCGGGGTCCCCATCCAGGAAGATGGCAATGACCAGCGCAGCAGAGTTTGCTGGTAATGGCTTTCTTACTTCCCTGCCAACTCATTCTTTGACTGCCTCTGGCTCTCTTCCACCCTTCACATGGTTGTGCGAAAAGAGCCCTTCGAGGAAGTCGGTCGACTGGCATATTCAGCACGTGGGGAAGCCAGCACAACCTATGAAATACAATCAGTTCATCTATCGAGGATGAGTAATTTCTTCGAATACCACTCGATGTACTTCAGCATTGTTGATCCGGTGTTCCCTCCTGACTCGAGGGGTTGCTCCGGAGACATTAGTTGTCAAACACTGAAGGTTTTTTGACGTCCTCATTGTGCAGCAGCCAGGTTCCTGATCCGTATAATATGTAGCGCATTGCATCATTGTAAACCCGACCCTTGACGGATAAACGGATGTCTCATCTACGCTACATGTGACGCAGGTCCACAAAAACTGCTCTGGCCTTCCCAGTCCTGATGGAGATATCATCTTTCTCGAGACCACCAGGACTGATACAGCTGCCCAGGTAGATAAATTTGTCTACTACCTCAATCGATTCATCCGCAAGTATGAGACTAGGGTTCAATCCCACCCAGTCTTACAGTAGCACTTCACACTTTGCAAGTGTGAAGCGCATGCCGAACCATGAGGCAGAATTATTTAGATTATTTAATGTTGTTTGCATTACCACGTGGTCAGATCTAAGAAGAGCTATGTCTTCTGTATACTCGATATCTGTGAGCGGACGCCCCGGGAGCACTTCGACACCACAGGCATTAGAGGTTGGTAGTGAGTCTTCCGTGATCGTATCAATGACGAAGTTGAAGAGGAAAGGTGAAAGAGGACAGCTCTGTCGGACGCCACTTGATGTGATGAACTCAGGCGAGAGCTCCCCGTAGCCATTCACACGGCCGCGGGAGTTGGCGTACAGCGCCTTAAGGAGGGTTAAGAATTCATGGGGAACACCTTTGCTCCAAACATACTGTCATAGTGTCTGATGGTCCACAGAGTCAAAGGCAGCTTTCAGATCAAGAAACACAACCATCGTTGGCTGCTGGAAGCAGTGTCGCTGTTCTGGAATCTGTCGGAGTGTGAAGATATGATCGATGCAAACTCTTGCAGGACGGAACCCAGCTTGGTTTTCACGGACCTCTCCCTGTGTTCAGCCAATTTTCGAGGGATAAGACCAGAGAGCACCTTCGATGCCACAACTATCAGGCATAGTGGTTTTTGCATAGCGTCCGCGTAACTTTTTTGAGGATAGGGATAACTGTTGGTGGTTATAGACATTGTCAGACATGGCCCAATCACGCGCTCAATGGCGCTTATGCATCCAAGCTATCGCCTTCAATGATACCTCTCTTCCCAACCCCCCACTTAACAGTCCACCTACAGTGCTGTATTTACGCACTGATTTATCAGCTCCCTAATGCGCAGCTACCTACTCCACCTCCCCGAATCATCAGTGAGCGGAACTGTGTCAGGTACATCCACTGTACAACAAGTACGCGGTTGTTACGGCTGACAGTCATGATGATTATGACCATGTCAAGATGGCAGCTTTAGTTATGGACCACTTCATTCGAGAATATGGGTTTGAATTTGATTGATTTTGGATGCAAAACTATTTGATTAACCTGAAAATATAAAGGTACTATAATCGCTTAGCTGTAAAACCCTTTCGGTATCTAGCTTCCATACACCCCTTGGAAGCACGGGGGCCTAAATACTTCCAGGCGATCATGCCTAGACAGGAGCAGTCGAGATGCAGAAGTTCTGTTCCAACCACGAACCTTGCGTTCAATAAGTTTGCACTTTAACAACTGGACTATCTCGAGTTCAAACCTGAATGTGCTCGCAAAGAATGACCCCCGAGAATGCTCTGCAATGGCCAGGGAGCAGTTATCAGTGGAGGTAACTGAGATTACCAGACATGGTGGGTAATAGCGTACTTGCTCTGCTTTTTCGGATGAGGAGTCCCTGTCCCACGTTTTGGTATACAAATGACCCTCACAGAGGGTTTTCCTATCCTATTAGATGAAAAAACTTCGAGGATTGAAAGTCGGTTCTTAAGAATGGATAACCATTTTATTATAGACTCTTAAAGTGAATGACTATCTTTGGTATTATTGGAACAACGCACATTTACCCGTCTTATAAATTTGCGTTTGTTGATAGTCCGTTGTCATCATCCATGAATCTGGTTTGCTTTGATACCTGCTCTAGGTGCTGCAGATGACGACGACGAAAACTTTGGAGGAGAAATTGATCATTCACTCTTTGCGGACGCCGCAATTTTCGAAGATCCTTCAGCTCAGAAGCAGCTGGAACATCTCACTTCAGAAATTGAATCTCATATGGATACTGCTCGGTTTGGTTTGCATGATGGAACGACCCCAGTCCCTGCCTCAGGGGTTGCATCTGAAGAACTCGTTCAAACCGTCGTTGAAAAATCGACTTCCCAATTCCCAGAGGTTACCGCGGCGACCGAACCGAATTTGACTGCAGTGCCGGTGGTCAACTTGGGCGCGTCCAGGGTGGGTGGCACAACCATCCACGGAGAAAGTACAACACTCATAACAAATGAATCGGAGGCCTTTGCTTTACAACCGATTGATGCTACTTCAGTAATGGGTACCGAAACCAGAAGGTATGTTGATTAGTATGCCCCCTAAGTCGGTTTCAGTGAGATCAAGGGCTAGCGTACAGCAGCATTCTTTGGAGTAGACAAACCCAAGGTCCTGACTCGTTGTGAGGGTTTACCGATGTAACCAAATACAGCTTGTTCTAACCAGACTTTCAATTCCGCGGTGCAAAGTGTCAATGGTTTTGAGTGGATAAATGTGACTTGACTTTTAGGTTAAACTCGTGATCCTGCTCGTCTTGCTTAACAGTAATTTTGACCACACAAGGGAAAACCTTACAAAAGGACAACGAGAGGTTTAGTAACGTCTTATTCTTGTGCTGTTGCATCGAGTGAGTGTGGTCTCTGTTGCGTGTTGTCTCTTCTCAAGCATTCGATAACTATTAGTTCTCGAGAAAATCACCGACCGCTCAGCAAAAGCGGCTGTAAATTCATCCGTTGGATGTCTCTTCGGAGGCTAAGAGTTACCTCAAACTCATCACAAATTGTGAGATACTGCAGCGTTAACTCCAAACAGGCATTTTTCACAAGTGAGCAGCATATTACGACTCAGTACTTCCAGTTGAGGACCCTGTAAGGAGCCGTTCCCCTCAGGCGCTTGGGTACATTCATAAATACATAGCTACTTCAATACGCCTGTCCATCTCAACTTCTTGCTTAACTATCTTGTACAGAATCCTAACGACACACCTACAACTGCCATATTATTGGGGTCATGACAGTGTATTGACTGGAACCCTTAAAATGCTTCGTAGTGTAAATTGTTTGGTGGTATGTAGACCCCAAGGACAACCTAGGTATAAAATGGGATGTTTATTGTTTACTTTGCCATTGTTTCTATTTTTATCTATCTGCTTCCTCACCCGAAAATAAGTTGAGGTCGTAGCAAATACTATGGAACTAGGCAGAATGCTCATTAGCACAGGTGCATAAGCAATGTGTCTTTACTTATCGGCTTGCCTTGGTAAATGTACCTACTGATTCACATAGCCCTGATATGCCAATTTGTTTGTCAGACCGGGAAAGCGCAAACGTCGTTTGGTTATAGATGAACTCAAGTCAATCCCAAGTGAGACCATGAAGCTACAAATGGAGGACACTTCAGATATCACAACCCAGCTCGATCTGGCGCCACCGACAAAGAAATTGATGCACTGGAAAGAAACTGGGAGCGTGGATAAACTATTCACCCTCCCAGGCCGTGCAATCTACTCTCGAGTTTTGTTGCGCCTGTTCGTCTCCAACCTCCATGTGGTTCCCAGTGTTGACGATGCAGCCGAAGAGCTGCTCCATCCTTTGAGACTCGGTTTTGTTCCACCTGTCTCCCAGGCTGGTCCAACGGCGTTGCCAGACGAAACCAGCCAGGTTAGTATGTCTGTGGTCGTTGTTGACCTCATTACGATGAAGTATTTTTGAATATCTAAGGCCCTGTACTGTACATCTTATGGAGTGCTCCAGATAAGATTTTCCACTTCCGTTCATTCAGTGTGCTCCTCGCATGCGTAGCAAAACTAAGCTCCAACATATGCGCTTTCCTTAAAGATATCTCCCCATCTGATAACACATCTTAATGATATGCGGTGGTTTTTATACAAACTCAAGTTCGCACAAACCTTCAGGTGCCTCTTGCTTAGCAGACCGTTAGTTTTCCCTTTTTTTGACACCCAACTTAACCCTTTCGTCGAATAGCAACACATCTAGGTTTATTCGTATTTCAAAGATGTTATGTAGAGTAACGCTTTCGTTCTTTTGGCAGAGTTGTTCAGCGAGAGCATACTATTATCCCTATGAGAGAACAATTCAGATTAATGAATATGTTGTATCAGGATTAAAGTTTGTTTTTTAGTCTGATTTTACTTCTTAGGTTACTCAGTAGGTTAGGGTTTTTGCGACAGTGGAGCCTACCATACAATTAGGCCCTTAGGTTAACCATACCATCTGGTTGCTCTGTAGTTCCGATTCATATATACGCCTTATTAACACGTCAGTGTTGGCCGGCCACTGTCAGACAGCAGCTCGAGCAAATCCCATCACAAAACTTTGCAGCATTCCATTTCTTTAATAGTCTTTTTTCACATTCGTCATTCGTGCTGCTCTGTTTCCAGCCTAGCCTTAGCGAGTTATCTAACCATGACCTAAGTGGAACAAAATCTCCGGGCGTAACGTTTGAGAACACCCTGGCAACGATGGGTGGACAAAAGCTCGACGTTATTCATGAAATGAACGAAGAAGGTTCCAATCAGCTGCCCTTCGACAGGCTGTCATCCCACCCGGATGAAGGTACGTCCACCAGTGTCCCAATCGATTACTAATCATTTGGCTCTCGTCGGTTTAGCCTGCATAAGATGGAGGAGACTAATTCTTCTAGGGGTTTTGGGTCTAGAGAAGAGTATACCGTAAGTATGGTTTTCAGAAAAGCTTGGGAAACAGTCGGTAAATTTATTACTGGGCAACGCCTCAATTTGACACAAAAGCTTCGTTAGGCCAAGTGACTAGGTTACGGGGTCCGTCGAGATTCAAAGCTAAATCGATGTTAGATGTCCGCTAAGGCAGGAAAAGGTAAAAGCAAAAGCGGTCACCTTGAAAAGGGAAAGCAGCATCTCGCCGATGGTTCCTACCGACAAATTACGAATGGTACCATTACTCCAATAATGGTACCCAGTGAGTTTGATTTGGCGGCATCTAAGGAATGGATTGGCAGAGCAGTTATTCCACATAAAGCAGGAACATCAGAGTTTATTCAAAGATGACTAAAGGTAGTCGACATTCGAGTAGCATTTCGGAAGGGAAAAACGCTACACTCAATTTTGGTGCAATTGAAGGATTCGTTCTCGGCTGAAAGGACTAGGGATTGTGTAAAATTAAATGGAACGATTGCACTAAGGTTTACAATGAGGCACAGTCAGAGAACTGCACACCAGAACTGGCGAGCACAAGAGAAAGGTAAACAGACCACGAAGGAATGCGAGCAAACACGAAACGCTGGTTAAACACTCAGCGATGGCGGTGCATGCGTTAGACACAGGACATAAAATAGATCTGGAGAATACAGAAGTTTCAAGACGGGAACAGCGATTCACACCACAGCTGCGGATGACCCAGACGGTAGAAATCACCAAGCGTCACAGCGTGAATGGAATCGAGGGCATGCTTTTGAAGCCGGATTGACATGTGACTGCATGTGGTTGTCAATAAACGTAGTATTGTCAGCAAACCGGGGGTAGAGATCCCAACCCGACCAAAGTTCACAACTGTCATAGCCTTAGCCCATACACACAGGATCAGAAAGTGCAAACGACGTTCCAGAGGAATCTTCACGTGAAATGAACTGGAAAACTAGACTCCAAGCTGGTTTTACAATCGGTCTTAACACTTGGTGACCTACGCTAACAAACAAAATCCTTTATCTGATACCTAACAGTGATTTAGCCTGAATTAGCTGATAGATTCTCCTTCCGCCTTTAATCTGGACCAACCTCGTAACCTACTCGTCTGGCTGGACGAAGTTTTTGTACCAAAAGCGAAAGTTTGACCAGCAGTGAATCTAGCTATTTTTTCCCAAACTGTTCCGAAAACGATGACTTCTCCATCCAACTGATTAAATACACCGTAGGTAGCTTCCTCAAGTAAAATCTTGAATGTGTCGTGAGGCTCACTATTTCTATTGTTGTGTGAAGCGTCTGAACAGTTATCAAATCCAAACTACGGAGGGGTATTCGTCAACGGTTGTTATCAGGATAATACCGACGGCACATTTTCAGACTATTACTACAAGACCAGGCAACCTATTATGAGGGATTCTGTGACATCTGGTATACCCGAGAGATTGACGGTTAGGTGGTTGTCACAGGATCACATGAAACATGGGTAAGGCTCCGTGCTTAACGCGAAACAACCCCGGTAATCCTCATAAGCGTGTCCTGTATACGATTAAGCGTTGTTAAACGCATGAGTTCGTTGGCACGTATCTCGTTCCACGCGTACTTTGTTTACTTCAGTTAATTTTGCCCATAGATCATATGGTAAGCAAGAACCCCCGAGCTTTCCACGCTTTCATCATCTCTAGATTCCACTTTTCCATAGTCCTCATTTCCAAGCAAGTTAACTCAACTTGTGCTGAAATGTGGACGAGCACTACACAGTTGTTCCATCCTTTTTACTAACCGGGAGCCTAACAAACTTCGGAGTAAGTTCAGTGCCGCAAACATCAACTGCGAATAACTGAGTGCCAGGGTGATTAACGTGCAATGTGATAACACCTATCGACACCCAATCATCAATCACCTGATTCACATCACGTACCAACTACTTACGTGGCGACTTCGCAGGAGAAGGTTCATGTAACCTCTGAAGGCTTTTGCTTCAAAAGCGTTTGGTAACGGTCGTTTTCCTTTCGAATCTTGCTAGAGATTCGTCAGACACGGCACGAAAAGGCCGTACAGTGCTTTCCGACATAACTCTTCACACTACCCACGAAGTTTTAATTGTCTGGCAGTCAGAGCTAACTTCAAACTGTATAATACCTGGTACTGACTCAGAAGCCAAACGGGTTATTTGGATGCTAGTTATCAAGGTGCTGTTTCACTCATTCTTGCTACCTTACTAAAAAGTTTGTACGAATAGGTTCTTTTGCGTTGTGCAATCGCAGAATCCTCTTCAGGGCATCTGACTGAGATCGTAGAAGAGAATGTCACCCAGTATATTAGCGTAACGCTACTTTTCCCCATTTATTTTCTACCGATTTTTTTCGTAAAGGGAGACATGGGTCCTCGTTTACTTCCGAGTGCGTTAATTGTTTTGCTGTGGATCCACGGCATCTTCTTATACGTAGGCAGTGCACCTTTTGCAAGCATCATAAAGATATCGGTTCCTTATCGACATTCCATTTCTCCCATTTAGTGGCAACGCTCTGATGGCTGCCTGTGCTACTTGGCACTCCATGAAAAGCGATTCTGTTTGGGAGGGAACTTCGTTTAGTTACAAGTGATAGTTACAGTGTTTCATGCATCCTATCCCAACTATAAATTATGCGCTTCTGCGGCTTCTGAACATGAGAGTTCTATCCATCTATCCGAAACTGACCAAACTAGCTCTTAATGACTGATATGTTTCTACAGGTTATTTGATCATCAAATCCAATCGGTTTCGCTTTAAGAGGGTTGGTCGTAAGTGCTAGTCGAGTGAACGGAATCGTAGGACGACTCATAGTACGGAGGTGGGGACTGGAAGTTGGGAGGGACTATCGCTCGTGATTCAAAAGAGTTATCGCGTCTTGGGCAATCGATGTGTTGCTGCTAGGGTCTGTTATTGTCCAGGACGTCCTTACGTGGGGATCGGGTTTGGCTGTTCCATCAAAGCATGTCATTCTGAGAACTTAGTGCATTTAGGCACAGTAAAGTTGATAGAGCTTGTTGTGCGGGTACCATCTTCGTTGATTAACACTTTTCACGGCTTCCTTATGCCTACGGATCACCTTTGGTAGCGGTATCGATTGTGCCGTCAATCGCTTAGCTTGTTCTTACACTCGCCCTGTCGTTCACAGACTGGGAGTCCAATATCCGTTCATCGTTTCTTAACCATCCTACCGGATTTATATCCTTGTGTATTCACGAACTACACCACGGAGAATTTAAAGTCAGGGAAACAACCGTGTGTTGTTTAGCTCGTCATTCAAAAGATTAAGAACCGATGATTTAATTGTTCCGAAAATGTGTGCATTTCTTTTGCTCTTTAGTCCACCCTGGTGATTCTAACGATGACTACGACGATGGCCATATGCACGACGACCTGTCGTTCATGCCTCCGAGTATCCTGTCGGAGGCACCACCCAGCGTGATGCAGGTATGTTCCTAATAACCTTTTAAATCTTCTGTTGACTCCGCTGTGGTTGCAGTGAGATATCAGTGGATGAATCCCATAGACCATGTTCGTGTCTGTATGGTACATCTCGAGATAGCTGAGCTGTTAGGATGTGACTATTGACTGGGTAATCCCCGGTTCGAACCTTATCCTGGGTTTCCGGTCGCCCCTGTTTATAATTGAGCAGGTGTGACAGTACCTTAGCCCTCGTGCTTCCTTCGGGTTATATGGCGGCAATACCCTTGAGTGGTTAGATTTTTCCTTCTTGTTCATCTGCTAGTCCCCTTGGCCTGCGTTGATGCTTCTGCTAATATTCCTCCATCTGTTTCTTCCTTCAAGTTCTCCGTAAGTTCTTTGGTTCACATCTTTCCTCACATTCTTCACGTTGTTCCTGTTTGGTTCACTCACTCTTATGAGCATTATTTGATAACAATAACACGATGATAGTTCTCTAGCTGTGCTTTCAGTCGACCCTGATACCTTTTTAAATTCTTACTCGTCTGTGTCATTAGAGTGCTTTATCTTTTCTAAAAAATGCTCCTTTAACTTCGTCCTGGTTTAACCGAATGTGTCTGTGCGGTGACCCTCGACCCACGTAGCTTATAGGTTAGCTGCTTTAGTGCAAGCCTTACTGTTGTACAATGGTGTCGTACTGCACTTAGAAAAGCCGCTTTTTAAAAGCCCAGCAGGTCAATCTTTGGATGATACCACCCTTAGGTGCGCGTCACTGTACATCTGGAATTCGTCGTTCTAGTACAGCCATGTTCTCATGTTACTAATGCCTTTTGATAAGGTGCATCTCCAAGTCTATCTTTTCTGGTTCTTAAAGGCTGACATGTTAGCGTTAGAGCGAGAGCTCGCCAAAGCGGATGATGAGGCCGAAAAACAATTGGCGTTGGCATTTGCGGCAGCTAGTCCTGATCCCGCTGTACATCGCCATGCTGATGGTGGTGTTCTAGACGCACCAGACTCCTTGGCCAGTCCGGATATACAGGAGGGTCAATCCACATTAGAGTCGCTGGAGGAACGTCGCTTGGAGAAACGTTCCAAAGTGTTACTTCGAATGCTGCGAACACATCAACAGCAAATGGGCTGGGATGAACCATTGGCGCTGCAGAGCATTTGCGTCGGAAATACCAAGAAACAGGTGAGAACTGATGCCATGTTTATGTTTCATGAGCGATCGGTCATTCCTTCCAGGTTGTTTCCATGGTTGATTGGTTCTGTCGGTTACCAGTTCCATTGCCGCCTTGGTTCATATGATATGAACCAGACGCGCTCATTCACAAGTAGGACAGATTCAACATAAACTAGCGGATACGTTTAGTTTACTACAGCTGATGTCACTCTCTATGCTAACAGATTCCGGGCAGTTTTTACGGCGATTGCAGTTCTGAATTGAGGTAGGCCTTTTTTAGTGCAGGGAAGTTCGGTGGGCAGATGCTTTTGGAAGATATATGCGTTTGTTCAGCCTTGTGGAGAACCATCCAAGCACATCAATTCCGTTTATGTTAACTAGTAATTCTTGGAAGTTGTTATTGAATCTGGAAATTGACAAACAGCGGAGGGGATGACCAGTGTCCGTTTGATTACACCTGGTTCCGTCTAATTTTCTCCCAGTGACGAAATATCTTTATACGCGCAGAATACGACATCAATCTCGCCATTACGAAGAGACTCCATCCAGTATAGTACATTGAATTTTCCAACTGTCTAATAAACCTTTTACTGTGCTTCTTCGTTGCAGGCGGCTTCGAAGTTTTACACGATCCTGCTTTTACGCAAACAGGGTGCAGTTGAATTGAGGCAAGAAGAGGCCTACGGGGAAATTCTTATTTCTCAGGGTCCTAACTTCAACCGTTTGGTGGAAGTCTGAACGATTTCGCCCACTTTTTGGACTTCTTTGCTTACTATTTGTATCCCTTATCTGTCTCCACCTCTTGCTAATCTCCCACCCCACTGTTGTCACCTCTGTACTCCTTTAACTGCCTATTCAGGATATGGCACTATTTTATTGGCATCGTTTTGCTTTGTCCATTTGCTGCGTCACAGATTTTTTCACATTTATCCAGATATGCATTACCTTGTTTTTTCTAACTGTGTCTTTGTACAAACGTATTATTAATTACTCTTCCGTCACTCTTGGTTATCAAACCCTGCGTGGTACCGTTAATAACCGATGGTCTACAGTCTTGCTGCACCAGCCAGTAACCACTACCCCCGTGAGTGCTTGCAGTACTCCCGTCCTGCTCACTAGGAGTGGTCATTTAGTTGTTTGAAACTAATCCTGACTGGATCACTTTTATTGGTCCGCTCCGTATCACACACACAACAACTATCAGGCTATGGGGGACTGTGGAAAAAACACCTTTAAACTCTAATCTTCCTTCAGCAAGAGGTTTATCAAGCTCCTGTTTTGGCCTCTATGTGCATGGTGCAATCCGATCCTGGAAGGTCTCCCGAGAAATTCCTTCAAACACTTTGGTGTGCGGCGATGTCTCCCAAAATCGGACAAACTAAGCGACCCGGGCTTCAGTGACTTACATTTTCAAGCGATAGTTGGTCTTCCAAGACCTGGGCTTCGTAAAACGGGACTTGATATAAGCCTCTAGTGAAATAAATAGAGGAATGGATGTTTGGAATGTCTTTTTTTGTAGGCAACGTCTAGTGCACTTAGGAGCCTCCTCAAATCGATATAGTAGTGCCTGTACGTCGAAACATTTAAAGCGGAATATTCTTCGATCGTCTCGGCCTGGGTGATTCTCTACGGTCCTGGTCCAACTGTCACACTAAATCGACCAAGAGGAGTTCCTGTTAATTCCTCACGAAGTAACCATCATTACCTTTAAGGCTCCAATACGGTGTTCACGCACATTCTCCATCAGTCGTGATCTTGCGATGGAGAAATCAAACACCCTACTTGACCACTGTTGTCACTTAAATCCTGAATTTTTATCTAATTGAATCCAAGTACTAAGCACCAGCTCTAAGCAGACGGCAAATACCGTAGTTCTGTACTGACAAATAGGCGGGATGCGAACGCGTAAGTATAGCTATGATAGTTAAAAGTTGCACAGGCCTTCACAAATGAATTTATACAAGAATCAACTTTGATGCCTAATTCGCTTACCGCAAGATTCCCACGCCTTTAGTGATCCCGCTTTGAGATTTGAAACAACTCTGTAACCGCGGGATGTCTCTCCCACGCTTCGATTTTTGAATTTCATCCGGTCTTACCTCCAGCAATGCTGGATGTTTACTAGATCAGTTTCACGGACCGACATCAGATCCCGTGCACCCCCTTGTGTGCGTGTGGTCTACACCTGGGTTCCTCAAACATCCCCTGTCCAGTTCGTTGGGTGAACTCATAGCTGACAAAGCGGAATCAATTAACTAGCCTATCCGAATGTCACAGAACGGTCTTATTCGAACGACCTTAAAAATATTATACAATCAGATCTTTGCGTCACCGTATTCTAAGCCAACTGATTAGGTTTATGGTTCTGCGCAGAACTCACCCCTGTTAAGGATTTGGAACTCGTTTTCTCTGCTGCGTTTATTGGTTCGTCCACAATGGAATTACAAAGATCACATCAAAGTGATATTCAATGTTTCGGGAGCCGCTTAAAAGAACACTAGACCTACGTATTACGACCATCGTATTCCAAACGGTAAAGCACTGACATGTCCTTGATTAGGGACAGAACTTTTGCAATCCAACTACCAAGCCCGGTGAATAGCACAATCGGCAACTGCCCCATTGGGCTATCAAAAAAGCAGCAAAAGGTTCATTTGTTGAACATCTTGTGACCATAAGTCGTACTATGAACCCTCGGGTAGAGGGCTCTACGAGAAAAGTGATCCTATGGTATACGAAGTGCATGGCTTAGCCACCGTAACCGGTTGAATGTGGCCAGCTGATCTATTAAGGGGAATGAACTTTCAGGAAGCCATCTTGCGTATTTCAGCATCACTTATCTGGTGTTCCCACCAACTTAGCGCAACGCCTCGGAGGCACCGATGGTCCATCATACAGAGTCTCCTAAGGTCCCCACCCGCAACGGCCACGTCTCTGATGAATAAATTAGGACAGATTGGGCCGTGGCATTGTAAATTCTACCCTTGGCAGTCAAGCTGATACCACGTCAGTGCAATGAATGTCGGAGATTAGCAAACGCTGTTTGGCCTTCCAAGTTCGGAAAGTAACTTCGTCTTTCTCCAGTCCAACGGGACATACGCAGCTGCCAATTTAGGAGAACATATTTACTGCATCAATCGGTTCACCTACAAGTATGAGGTTTGAGTTTGATCCCACCCAATCTTGCACCAGCAAGATTGCGAAGCAAATCCCAAACTGTGCACCACTTAGGTTATTTTGAATAGTCTGCATTACTAAAAGGCCTGCTCCAAGGATGTCAATATCGCCGGCGTACTCAATGTCCGTGAATGAAGACCTTGGTAGTATTTCAGTCCGCGAGATGGGTAAAGGAGACTCAGGCAGTATATGGGTAACGAAGTTACAAGGGTGATTGACGATATTCTTAACCGACAGCCCTGGAAATGGTGAACTCAGAGGAGAGTTTGCCATAAACAGGTACATGTCCGAGGGAAAAGGCATATGAAGCTCTTATAAGAGACTAGAAGTTACAAGGAAAACCCTTCATCGTCAGACACTGACAGTTTCTGACAAGCAGTGGAGTCAAAATCAGATCTGAGATCGAGAAGTACGTCCATTATGGATCGTCGGAAGGAGTGGTACAGCTCTAACACTCGTCGCAAGTTGAAGATATGATCGATGCGACCCTGCTCAGGAAGAATCCAGCTTGATTCTCGTGGATCTGACTCTCTGGATGCTGAGTCGATCTTTGTTAATGCCAAACAGCACTGGTAGTTGTAGTCAGAAGACTGATGCCGCCGTAGTTTTCGCACGACTTCCTGTAACAGGTTGCGATAGTTCGTCGTTGCGAAGCCTTCTGAATTTTTCGGGCTTTCACTCCTTAAACTTTTTATTATTCGGTGGATGAAGAATCTGCAGACCCCATCACAGAGGATCGTTGCTGTTACACTTCTCTGGCTTCGATCAGAGCTGCTGATCATGATCATATTGAGTGTTTACTGAGGTGTGCGAGCGATCTCGAGCAAGCTGTTCCAGAATTTGCCGTCTTCCACCTTTCTCCAATCACCATCCACATAACCGTTGTTACCGATAGGTTCTTGGAGCTTCTTAGTCAAGAACTTGATGGCCACAACGATGGTTTAGATGACGAGTAGAGAAATGTGAGAGGAGCAATGATCACAGAGTCCAAAGGTTTTGGTTGAGGATCCTAATCACTCTTCTGTTTGGACGTGGGCAACCCACGTGGAGAATTAGAAATTACCGGATATCACTTAGGCCGTCGTGCAGTGCTGTCAGTCTGCACATCATAACTGCTGAACACAGCAGGGTGGACAAGCGAAACAACCTACTGCTGATGCCTCCTTCTTTGCTCTTCCACGTATTCACTATATCTTCTTCTTATCCAATTATCAACGGGATCTCCGTAGGTCCATTCCTAGGAAACGACAGATCCGTTTGATTCCCATTGCAGTTAGCTGCAGTACTAACGCATAACTCGGCCACCACGGCATTCAGAAGAATTAGGAAAACTCTGACACCTAGTTCACCTGACAAAATTTACAATTCGCCCCCTGAGACAAGCTGGACAACGGATTGCTGTTATATGCACGCTGGAATCGCTTCCTGTTTCTCTGAAACAAAATATCAAGACATATACAGCGGTTTTCTCTCGCTTCCGCTCATGCAAATCTGGCGGCCTATGGGCTGTTGCGGCTGATTCTACTTTAATTAGCATTGTTTTAGGCAATGGCGCTTAAGGATCTCTGATAGAATGCTTGCCCATTTATGGTCGCATTCGTAAGGTTTGTCTGTGACAGTATTCTGTAAAAGCGTCGACTACCCATGCATGTTGATTGTGCCTGCTTCCGTTCCAACAGTCTGTAGCTCCAAGACTCAGGTTTTTACGATGCCTCCGGTGTATTCTTGCGGCGGGCTAAAAGCTCTGATATCGTTGTGATTTTCGTGGATGGAGATGCGGAAGTAGATGGACGTAACAGTGCCAAGGCTCATTTGGGTGGTTGTTTAAGAGTGGAATCAGGACACATCGAAAACGACGAACAGCTGCTGCCGTTCTGTGCTACCCACGGACTGGTTCTGTGCAATACCAACTTCCGAAATCACCGAAGCCGTGTGGCCACATGGTGCTCCCCGCATGCGAGCCCATCTCCAACACACATTGACCGTATTGGCATTAGCTATGGTGGCATGGGTCAATTACTGATTGTTGCTCGCTCTGAAAATCCTAATTGGGTTAGGATAATATACTTATTTGTTTCTGCTTCTCTGTACTTTTCGTGAACGCGCAAGATGCGCACGCATCGCCTAGCTACTGAGAAGCTCTCAGAGCCTGATATGAAACAAAACTACTAACCCACATACTGAAGTCCATCTCGGAAAATAAGTCTCCGGACGTAGACGTCCATAGCCGTGCAATACACGGCGCGCTCCGGATGTGGAATGATGCGACCACCTAGATCTGAGCATTGGATCTCGAGCAACACTGAAATCGCTCGAAGCTCCGAGATATATTCCTCCTGGTCGACAGGACAATATCGGTCAAAGAAATGTCAGACTTCAGATGAAATTGAGCCCTTGTGCGGAACAAGGAGCTTGTTGGGTCCAGAAAGTCAGTGAGATGGAGGAATGTGCTAAACTGGCCCAGGGGTCACGTGTTGCACATACCGAGTTACCATCGATCAAGGCCAGCACTGTTTTTCGTGCCTAATTCGGAGTGGTGGACACCTGGAGTTGGACAGAGTTTGATATGACAGAGAAGAATGGACTTTACGAGAAGTTAGGGTGCAGTTTGCTTTCCAGGGTGGGGTCTAGGTGACCTCCCTATGCTTCACTGGAGGTACTGAACGATATGGCAGTTAACCGGTATCAGAAGCATTTAGGCTTTTAGTTTCCATCCAGATTGTTTAGCTGATTATTCGAGGTGTAGGCACCTTGGATATTTGTGGTAGACTACCCGTAAATAACCAAGTTTCCCTTCTTTCCAGTATTTAGTTTCAAGTAAATTGGTATGGCTTTATGGCAGTGAAGTAATCTAGATTACCCTAAGCGTTTCTATAAAAAGTATTCCCCCGGATTTTTCTGGTCAATTTGACCCAGGGGCCATTACGCAAAAATCCACTCTTTTTTCATCCCCGCATGTACGTTCGCGGCAGAGAATTGCATGCTCCACTAAACGTTGTTTTCTATGAGTTAGTTGTTAACTAATGAGTACTTTCCACATGCCCCCCCTCCGTATGAATTCGGAGAACAATACCGACATATATTCGCCTCCCGAAAACCTTTTCTTAGATGTGACATTTGGAAGTGTCATTAATTTATTACCTATTTCAGCCTGACAAATAAGGATATCTGGTCATTGATAAGCAATTTAAGTGGAACTAACCAACTTAGTAATTCTGATTAACTATGGGGATGCTTCGGCAGCAGTAGAGACATCAACACCATTTTTAATGCTATACAACCGGAAAGTATAATCACACTTGAGGCCTTCAGCTGAAAATCTGAAGGCTAGGGAGGGACGTGTTCCCAGCATTTAGGGCTGCCTACACCTACTAACAGTCAATCTGGCAAGCAACTGACTGAACAAGCGTCAGCGACATCGATTTACCACCATTTCTTGCAGTGCTTCCAGCGCAAGGAGGGTCACAAGAACTCCAGCCGGTATAACCGACTACACCAACCATACCGAAAATCTTCGTATCATCTTTCGCACCCTTCCTCCAATCCGCTCTGTGTTGCGTAATTTCCGAGATGTCGAAGATTTTTTTGATGCTACACAATTCATCAGGTCAACTGAAACTGTTCGACGACACACTACTGATTTTGTTCCTCATGGGACTCATCAGGTAAGTGGAGATCCAAGTTTCGATCAAACTTGTGTTTCTGATGAATATAAACTACAGATTTAATTGGAACCCCTCAAACTCCAAAATAATACACAAATGAGGTCATTTGTATAGACTTTAGTGTTCATATCAGAACAAAGGTTGGTTGAAAACCGGAGAATGATGAACCACATGAACGGCGAAACCGGCGATACACTATCGAAGAGTTTTCAGGAGAGTATAAGTGCAACATAAGGCTGGCGGAAACTCGGGGACTCCACCTACCTAATAAGCCCCAAGAAGGGCGAAACTGGCCGTGGGCTGTCGAAGAGTTTTCAGAAACTTTGTGAGTAGTTCTCATTATGAAAACGTTTTCAGGAGTCTTATAAACAATATGTTACGTCGAGAAAGGAACTCATACAATGCAGCCCCCCTCAAAAAAACGAAGTGCCCTAAGAGTAGTACGCTTCGTGTGTACTTGCTACACATAAGCCTGAGTGCATACCCTCTTTTCAAAGCCAACGGCTTCACCTTGTGCGATATCGCAGCACTACGACTGATACACACCCGTTGTAGAACACAATCTGCGCCCGTTATACGATATTTAGGGTAACGAATGCTAGGCAATTACAGCAGAACAATGTCATATTGCCTAAAGTTCCTCGTGCTGATTTTTTCAACTCTCATTATCGCAATCAGTGAATCCCAATAGCTTAAAATACGCATTGGTTACCTCGTTGAACCCAAAGAACATCATAAACGAGAGGTTCACCTGGAATTCAAGCGAGCCTCGCGTGAAGACCTAACCTGGTATGCAAACGAATGTATCTATCGAAACATAAAGCCAGTTTATTCAACTAGAGTCTCACTGCTGACAAGTATGATACCAGCATGTAGGACGCTCTGTTGCTTGCAAATATTTACTCTTCAGTCTGTCCGCCGTCGCACTCACTAGACGGGAAAACAAGGGTATAAACCATGTTTCCAATGGCGAGAAGGGTAGAATGCAAACTCAGTGAAGTGGGCGTCCATTTCGATGAAATTATAGCCGGGATGAATCTGACACTTCCATATCGTGCTTTTGGGCATGAAGAGACGGGGCAACAACCGGGAAGCAATCGCCCTATCAGATAGTGAAATTCTCTCCTCAACACCATAGAAGATTTCACGAGGGCTTAGTTTTTTACCGCTATGAAACAAGTTAATTCCTACTGACCTACTCGTGGCCGCTTGGAGCTTCAAAAAACTAAAGTAGGTGTACGTTCTGCAACACCACGTGGACAACCTTGATTTACATCTTGGGCGGACAGCATGCTGACTGAACTTCAACAAAATGTGAAGGTATCAGAGGTTAAGCTTGAAACCTGGTAATAATACAAGTTTTAAATAAAAGGGCAAGAACTCCACAAATTGGAAACTCCCACACGGAGGTTGCACTCGACGTGCCCCTGAATACTATGGCGAAAAGAATATAGTACACGTTTTCTACTCTTACTATGGATGTATTTGGTACCATCAGAGCGGGTCTCTGACGGTATCCATTCGACGGTTATATCGAGGCAGACCCAGCCTAGCTTTTTAAAGACTTTTAGTGACCCTGCCTTACTCAAAAGCTTAGTTACCTCATAACTCCGACGCATACCGGCATTCCAAAAAAAAACGTTTCCGTGAAGTCCCTTTATGCGTTGTACGGCACTTCCAATCAAAGACCCGATTTTTTTCATCCATTGTGAATGCGCGAATGATATCATGCCCGTGAATTTTAATGAAAGTACACACCAGGCTTACTATTATCACAGTGTGGACTTGAGAGATTCCACTGTAACTCAATGTTCTGAAGACTCAGGACATTGGATTTTCTCGTATTCAGGGGAGGCGATTCTCACTTTAAAAGTTACAGGCGTTTCAAGTCCCTTCGTGATAGAGTAACCCGGACGACCATCCTAAATGACATCGGACGCTTCTCTGATATGGGTATCATGCGGTCGTATGCTTTCACATTTTGAATATCACAAGTATCGCTTGTGGGTTCCTTTTTCCCCGCAGCATTCTTTGAACTGCTGTCCATTATTTCTAGAAGCATATTTTCAAATGCAGTGGAATAATAGTATCGTTGCTAACTTCGTCAGTGACCTCTGTTATAAATTTTACCAGCAGATCGTGCAGTACCGCATCCACTCCTCCTACCTTCCAACACTAGACCAACCAAAAACTGATCATATGTGTACTCCGTGATTGGAAGATGAGTGACGCCATACCCAGTCCAAGTGCGAGTTAATCAGACTGCTGATCAGCCGCTCGTTGAGTGTTCAAACTACTATCAGGGATGTCATGGATTGGAGACTACCGGGAGTTTCGTAATATGTGCACTGCTGATGATTCCCAATAAAGATGAAACAGCTGTACAGTGCTCCTCGGCTATTCAGCATAAACTGGCTTCAGTTCCTGGACGGAATCTCAATGGTCTTAGTTTCATTTGGCCAGTTACGTGGTTTTGGACTTATATAAAAATTCCGCTGCACTGTATTAGGTATCTTATGTTGTTTCAGATATTTTCGGGTGCAAGGCAGTGAAGAACAAAACATCCCACGACTTTGTTGTCCTTACTAGTTTGTTCAAGTTGACCGAGGAATCGCAATGCTGAAAACATTGCTGCCTAGTCTCTAATGGAAGGCGCTGATTTGATCGATCGTAATTCATCATGGTGAGTAGTTAACGAGTAGACTGTGTAACAGACAGTGTTTGAACAATCTAATCACCACAAGACGGGTCTTTGGAACTTAGAAGTGAAAAGTATCTTCGATCTAATCACAAGAATGGACGCAAACGTCTTAATATTCGAGTTGGATGTGGCAATCATCTGGTGAAATACGGGTATTGCAGGAATTAGCTTTTAGAGCTACAAACGTGCGTGAGCCACCGTTGAAAGGCAGAAGAATAAGCCCCTGGAGGAAGTATAAAAGTATAATCAGAGAAAAATAATGCGTCAAAATCGTTAATATCAACAATCAACCAAACCATTCTCTCTCATGATCCTGTCGACTTCAGCCTCAATTTCTGTCACTGACTTGATGCCGAGTTTCTTCTTGGGGTTGTTTGACCTTCTCTTCCTTTTACTTCTTGGCTTATCTGTTCCAGGATGTCTAACCGTGATAGGATTTAGAGGGCTAACGAAGTGAGGATGTACAGAACTAGAAGTTGCGACCTTGGATAGACGACAATCCTTACGCATGAGGTCCAGTAATGAGAAGAACTCGGCGAGTTGTACTGACGCTGTGCGAACATGATGATCATGGTTTAAAAGAAGATTTGGGAGGATTGTTGAAAGTGTAACGCCCAGTCTGTTGACTGGAGACTGCAAAGCCAGATAGCAAGCCATCGAATGGAAAAGCCGGCCACTGGAAAACGTAAGCGAAATAGCTGGCATTTCGAGACAGCATTTGACATGTTCTCTTTCATCATCTGTGGCCAAAGAGTCCAACAGGGATCCCAAAGTAAGGAGGGAGATGTAGATGGACTGCAACTGCCCAAAAGAATGAACAATGTGTAGTTGTAAGTGTCCCTGAGGCTTCTCACCAGCCTTGATTGCAGATGCTGATATGAGCCTGTTTAGGTTATCTGCAGAAGCAGTCAGGTGGTGCTTCAGCTTGTTAGTTGAACGCAGCAGACGGTTGTCCCGAAGAATCTTGGAAGCAATGCATATAACGAAAAAACTCAAAAGTGTTGGAGAGGAAGATGGATCGTCAGATACATTGGACCCATCCGCGAGCCAAATGGATGCCAGAAGTGCAATAGACAGAATCCATGGGTTCTTCTCTCTTGACAAAAGAACCGGATTGAAAAAGCAACCAAGTAGGGAGAGACGCCTGTCTCCACATTCCACGTTACTCTCACTAAAATCGATCGGTTCCACTTGAAGAGCGCAGGGCTTCAGCTGCCAGTTACCTCTCCTCATATATTCAACAAGAAGGAAACTGCCTACTCGATCCGGTGAAACAATGGGATACACATAATTTCCAGCCTTTTCCAGCCCTAACAAAAGGCTGTATATTAGCTGACGTACCGGAGTTGAACACGCAAATATAGATTTGCTTTGATGTAGAGATTCAACCGAACAGTTAATCACAAGAGCTTGGCAATAGACCGCATCGAAAAAACCGGGATATAATTGAAGATGTCTAAATTTATGTACCAGTAACGGTGGCCAATTTGCAGTGATGGATGGGCGAGGAGCGCATGGGATCATGGGATGAGAATGTTGCTCTTTTATTGCATTAGTCGGGTCAAAATCGTCTTGTTCACCAGCACTGACATTATTAGACCCGGCAGGGGAAGAAGAACGTGACTCCAGGAAACGATCGTCCATGTTGGGAAAAGGTATCTCGTCAATGTCTTCTTTTTCCTCTGACTCCGAGTCTCGAGTGACATTTTCCATTTCTAAGCCGAGAAAAGGTACCAAGGTAGTAGCTACGCAAACAGAGTCCACATCGTAATTGGCCATGCACTTCAGAAGTAACTCTTTCCTCTGTGCGCGAGCAGCAAGCGGAAAACGATTTAAAATACGATTGACCGGCTCCTCAATATTGAATCCAAAACCAGAAAGCCAACTGATGAGATGCTTGTAGATCGATCGACGTCGATTGATTCTTACTTCTTTGGAAGCTTTCCGAGACAACGGTTCGCGCAAACCCTGTGTGATGGGTAACACGGAAGCAAAAATATCCGGACTGATATAGTCATTGCCAACGACACTGGCAAATAACTTTCTTTGTGGAGAAGGAAGCCTACCAAGACCCGGTCCACAGGGCCGAAATTTATAGCAAGGCATATAAAACTGTTCCCTGCATTTCAACATACAACTACAGGTGTCGGTTGAAATGCGTGGTTCGAATGTGACGAGACTTAGTGGCAACAAAACCGCCCCGGTATCTGTAGAATTGGGTATCGTTATGTAGAAGTCGGAGTCATTGCTAATCACCGGACAATTGAAATGAATGGCCAGGCTAACAGCATCACAATCACTTTCCCTATCACATACGACCAAATCGACCTTGAGACAGTGTAGAGTTTGAGCAAGAACCATCACTGCCAGTGGTGGTAAAAGTGGCACGCGAAGCGAATTGTGCGTCGGATCCGCGTGTTGCGCAGACTGCCTGATTAAACTACGGCAGACCTGTAGTCGCATTCGGGATCGGGCAAGTTGTGTAATCAGTTTCGAATCCTGCAAGGAGTGAAAAAACGACGACGAGGTCAACGAGGATTCGGTAAGTCGGGGTGAGCGAAACGGATAAACTGACTGAGAAAGTTTGAAGCCGGTTCGTTATCCAGCGCCAATCTGGGAAACTGATCACTTGTGAGGTACACGTTCTTGATCCCAGACTTCTCGATGGTATGACAAGATTTCAGATAACTTTCATGAAAAAAAACTACGGACGTTGAAAATCGCTGAGGCCAACTCCGGATAACCGAACTCAGTCTGTTTAAATAAGCATCGATTGGGCCAATTAAGCCATTTAGAGCGTTGCGCGCTCCCATATTTACAGAACATCTCCGGATAAAGGCAATTCTCCCCGAACGCAGAGAAAGAAAGGTCAGGTCAATAACCCGCAAGCAGGAAACTTGAAGTTGGATGCTGTTTGGTTAGACCACCGGAATATGCGGATCGACCACTTGGTTTGGCGGGAGCCAGTCACATGTCATAGTTTTAAAATAAGAGTTAACCTACTGGGCTGCAGAATAAAATACTTAAAGCTATATGAATACTAAAAAGTGAACAATAGGCTTTATTGGAACGAAGGGCTGCCGTCACAGAAAGTCAAACACTCAACTGTGAAGAAAGAACGATGAAAATTTGCACCGCAATGTGGTGCTTCAGCGTTGCTCTCAGTACATACTGTGATGGGTAGCTACATCATGGGAATTCGCTCAAAAGGCCACTGTTTTTCAAAATCATGTTTGGGACAATCCGTGTGTTGAGGAATGCGCAGAATTGTGCAAGGAACGAATTCGTGAAAACAATGAACCCAGTAAACTACTAACGGTGATAAGAAGAAATCTAGCTTCGATTGAGAATTCGGGCTGCAGATGGAGTCACCGAATGCCGAACGCACCGAAGAGCTATCTCATCCATGTTAGTGACTACCACCAGCGTACATATGATGAGCTGATAGAAAGGCTCAAACACGATTAAGGGTTGACTACTACTAGTTGGTTACGAGAAGCTGGTAAGCCGATAGATAGGATATAGCATCACCACGGTACAATCACGCGTCTCGCCTCGTGTGATCCGGCGTGAATTGGCCCACCGAATGATAGCTTCTAGGGCAAGAGACCTGTGCGATTCGTTGGAATTTTGCTTTTTAGACAGACTACTAGCGTTTGTAAGTAGTGGGAAGTTTACCATCCGAATGCAAAACCTGCACTCCACGAATCGACTCACGAACCAGGGCTACCCACATTCCTTTGTCCTAAAGAAAGTCTTTCCAAACTTTAACAATGAGCGGGCGAAGAACCATTCGAAAGGGTACTTACATCATGGCAACCATCAAAAACAAATATTGGCTTGACTGCACAACGACGGAATGCGTTGATGATCCGTGTGATGCACACTTCGAATGACAAGTACTCACCACCAAATTGGGTGTACAGCCCCGAAGTGAGATAAATGTAGTTGAGGAAATTATTGGCGTCAATGACAACTCGTGATCCATGCAGCTGGAAGGCTTCGTAATTATCCGGATCACGACTGAGATAACTGCTCAGCCCACGAATACCCATACCTGAAACGCGTGAAATGAATACATTGAGGGAATGCACCCCTGACACCATTGAGAACACAAATATGTGCAGAAAATTTGTAGCGACAAGAGAGAAACAGTGTGCTAGTGTGTATTTTTTTCAATTAGATCGCAAACTTACGAACGGCCAGAAAGGAGCGTCTGAACAAGGGGAAACGTAAGAATAGTGATAAACAAGATCCGTCTCTAACTGGGAAACAATGTCAGACATGACAGGGATCTCCGTGTGTTTTCCGGGCTTGATCGGTGGAGGTTTTTCTCGTTGGCAATTCGCCTGATCAGCCAAAGCGCGCTGACGATCCCGCTCCTCCCTATGTTTGATTGTCTGGAGCATGAACTCCTCCATTTCAGGAGATAGTTCAACGTCATCCAAAGAATCATCGTCAGAATAAACACACTGATCTAAATGTTCTTCCACATAGGAGTCGTGCTCAGCGATAAAGTTAGGATTCTCTTCGCGCAGAGCACGAATTTGGGTGAGAGTTTCATTGTATGCCTGCCGAAAGTATTCTTGCTTGTGAAATAGCCGCATAACGTCATCTTCAAGCATTTCAATCTCGAGGTCACGTCCGTAGGCAGTTTGGAATGTAGGGTTGATTGAAGGTAAAGTGCATGGTGAGATATTCGACAATAAAGCAGTGAAGCGGCTTAGGGTTTGTTGATAGAAATGCAAACCGGCCTCCATCTGGAAGAAAAAGATGGCTTCAATCAAAGTAAGCACACTAGTTAAAAGCGACAAGGGAAAAGAATGTGGTCGGTTGAACGAATTTATTCAACAAGGTGACTACTCGGATGTAACAGATCCAATTTGTGGTCAGCAATGTTAGGAGTTAGTTCATAGTTAGCAATCACAACCTCTTTTCGTGCGGCGGCACTGAAATCCCCTCGTAGCCCTATGTAGTGCAGTCGAGTGGTATCAGCACCATGGTTACTCTTCACATGGATGCTTAGGCATTGGACACTGCTGAACCGGGCCACTTTCAATGGATATATGATATCGCCGAAGGGATCTGGAGTTAGAGATAGAGTCTGATCCCCATCACCCTGTTGCATGATTACCACCTTCAAGCATGACTTACTTCAGTATCCGAGAAAGTCATGAATGGCTTATTCTTGTATAGCGTTACGAGGTTCGGATGACTACCCATATTGTCACCGGCAATAATGATGGCTTTCAGTTTTACGGAACCAGTGAATGGAACATTGAAAAGGAGCTCTTCATCGGAATCACTTTCCACATAAACAGTGGTATTTTTCCTATCCTGTATAGGATAGAAATTCCATCACTTCGTGAGGAACCCACTTCATATGGCTTGAAGACAGATTTTCCGCTACCAACCACCGCCTCGTTCAGACATTCAAGGTTATGGAGGTCGATGAATTGATACAGACTGAACGAGGCAGCCGGGTCCTCAATTTCCAAAGAATGACAACAGTGCCCCCCGTGATTGTGCTCACACATGGGTGCGTACAGAAAATAGTTCAACAATGAACGACACCTCAGAAGTGTTCTGTAACGGAACGGAAAATTAGAAATGAGAAGACAACATTACTATGCTGTTGGTATACTGGATGGTATATCTCACAAGTCTAAAATATTTGGTAACCATCGCCTGTCTGAACGGGGATGGTGTTTGGACGATTCATACATATAAAAATATGACCGGGAAAGAGGGGTAGAGAGCGGTGCGTGGTAGAGTGGACACCAATTATAAATTCGTGCCACAAATAGTCATGCAATGAACCGATGAATAGCGTGTGATACAGGGACAGTTTGAAAACGTATGACGTTAGGCAGTAAACACCAGTAGGACAAAGGAAATTAGAAAAGCATTCTTCTGGGTTGTAGACGCTTATATCGTTGCAATTATTTTCGTCAGAGCATCTATCTTATGAGTGAACAATGTTCGACACCAACGCCTTCCTTAACTGACATACGTGGCTACGTGGCCAAAGAGTATGATTACAAAGTGACGCTATCAGAAAGCAAACCCAAGAATGAAGCGCAGCAAAATTCACAATGTCCTCTAATTAAACCAAATGAACTCTGATTTGTTGATTTCAAGAACACAGCCAATGAAGTTATGCTAAGCCCAACCAAAAACTGCTGGATTTCGACTTCAGAGCATCACTGGCTGCATCCATAAGTAGCATCTGTCAAGCAGAGCGCATGCTCAACAATCGCTTAGATCAGTGAAGCGTTTGGCTTCTTCTCATTGACAATTTGAGTTCTTCATTCACTAAATCGAATTTAGCCATTATTGCTGTGGGCAACAGCGCTAATGATGCGTTGAAAACCCTAGCACCATAGGTTGAATGCGACCAGGAAAATTTAAACATATCACGTGACCTCAGGAGACTTGATACAATATACAATGAGTTGGTGGTGCATAAAGTGTTTAGATAGAGCATTTTGCCCTAATCCAATGAGGGCAAAGTTGGCTTAACAAGTGTGAACGGCTTACAAGAATGTGGAAACAAAGCGAGGCCAGGAGACTAATTAGGAGTAGGGTTCAAAACGGAAACCAACTTTACATGGAATTCCACAATGGTGGCGCGAGACATGCAACTTCTGGGTATAACTAAGACGACTGCGACCTGCCAGTGTGGCACCCAAGCAAAAACATGAGCATATCCGCTAAAACTGGTCCGTAGTGACGGGTCTGTGTGCTACGCAACGGGAACATGAAATAGGGTAGAGGAAATAACATGAAGGTTATGGCAGAATTTGATGGCACGTATGCCAACGATTGTGTTCCGTCCCATATCAGTAAGCTCCACGATTCGTACATTACAATCATCTCTTGGACCTACCTGTGCAGGCCAACTAACGCGTAGCGTTTTTATAAGTAAGCACTACCCCGTTTAGGCTAAGCAGCGATTCCTTCCAGTTATACTCGGGTTTAGCATAGTCAAGGTAGTAAAGTATATACCCTTACCACGAGATCTCTCTGTGCCACATTCAACTATGCGCTCATGCGACATCCCGACCATGCGACGCTGTGCAGATACCCATGGCCAAAACCATCAGGGGTAAAGTATTCCGACATGATAAAACCAAGCGTTACTGCCGTACAACTACGTGAACAAGACGTTATATAGTCTACAATCAACATTCCCGCGATGACAATGATTTGTAATTTAGCAATGTTCCTCGACATTAGACATGCATTCGACCGGCTGCGTACGTCGACGTATAATAAGCTTGATGGGGGCCAGCTGACGGAAATAGTAATTATCGAAACCGAGAACCGCAGATGTAAAGTTGTCACCCATAGATAAAAACCGTCAAAAGCACTATTAACTCTGCCTTGGGAGGAAAACCGGACATCCTTTCAAAGCTGGGACCGATGAATTGAAGACAGCAACTTGATTAGCTGACAGGCTACTTTATCCGTAGAATGGAGGCACTGAACGTATCAACAGTCTCGAGCAGACCGCTTGTAATGTAGCGTCGGAGTAATTCCGGAGCGATTACATAGAGCGTCCTCACACTGAGGCTGTAGAGCCCATCTCGTACAAACTAACCGGCCTTTCTGGGAGAATCAACATTAGTGTGGAGCTGAAACAACAATGCCATTCGAATATTTAGCAATAACCGTCGTAGATTTGATGGTTTTGAATCCCCTCCCATAATTTCGTCAGTAACGAGATAAAAAGGGGGTGACCGGAAACCCATGGGGCACCAAATGATGGGGGGAACTCCTAAGTCAGATGCCTTATTAAATAAGCACACAGTGCTATCAAAATATTGACGTACCTATGAGGCATCCCTGGGTGAAACAGTTCCATATGATGCTCTAGGGCAACTGGAAGACAGCGGCTTTCAGTTGGTTGTTAGCACATATGGTTTATCCCTGGAACCTACAGCAACGTTAAAGTGGTCGAGATAGCCGTAACCAGGACAAGAGCTCACCGTCCAGTGGTAAGCCCGCGCACACTGAGACCTGTCAACAACTCGGATGCGATAAAGCTTCTCTTTTAAAAACAGGGATGATGGCCGGTAAGCATTGGCCTTGCGTTGTCTTTTCGGTTTCCACTATGTACTGATAAGGGCTTGAAGGGATAAACGTAAGTAGTTCTAAGAATGAAGACAGGGAGAATTCGGAGCTCAGAGCTTCAGGCTGTTTCAGTTCAATTCACTTGTGAATTTGGACACTTAGACTGGACAGCTGGTTCCTCAAAATTTTCCATCCATTTTTAAAGTCAACGTTGCCCCTTCGCCTATGACCTCGTTATCATCCGGTTTTCGACCACAGACATTATAAGGGAGAATAGAGTGTGATACAGACGAGAAAGCCTTCGCCAGTTAGATTCCTTCAAAATGGAAATGTTCAATGTTTCGTAAATTCGTTTTCCATTTATGGCGGTCTAGCGGGGCAAACAAGACGTACCAGTTTTCCAGGGATGATGATTTGCGAGATGGGGTTTGGTATGACTAACATTTTGAATACGGTTCGAATAGCTATCGGAATTTCCTTCCGCATTCGTCAAAGTCCAGTTGTTAGTGCTATCATGGGAAATGAAAGTGAGTTGTTTCTGATGGGTCTCATTGATCGCTTTACTGATCAGATGCAAAACCAGCTTAAGGCAATAGTAAGTGGAGGTTTCCCATTGGAAGTGAGCAAGACCAACCGCAATGCCCCAACACTGGAAGGAAATCTGTAGCGTAAAACGCCATCTGTATGGCAATAAAGACCTGATCTGTTGTTGCCCAGTTCTGCTTCGGACGCGGCGAACAAAACGTAACAAACCAACGCCTTTTACGTTGATTCGTCGTGCTTCGTTAAGAAAAGCACAGAGATTGAGTGGAATATCGATGCATTGTGCACGGATATCGAAAATAACAGTCCATGGTTTTTCCCCGGTGAAAGTCGACTAAGTTGGGTGCTCACAATTGCTCTATATGCATCACTGGTTTGGTGCAGTTCTGGGTTACATTCTGCTGGGACAATGTGCGTTTATTGGATCAGTATTGGGCTACTTCATCCTCGATAACTTCACAGAGAGCACGCAATTAAGCAGTCAAGGTTTTCTCCACTTTTACACTGAAAACGATTCCGATTCGAGCCTTGCATCAGAGGCTAGCGGACAGTAACCCTGAGCTCAGGCAATTTTCAAAGTATACTTGAAGGCATAACATTACCAGAACCATGTACTCAAGTTCCAAGGACAAAAAGCACGGTCCGTTCCCAAGCTTATGCTTACCAAAGCATAGAGAACACATTCGGAGCGGCATCGTGCTCTTGATGGCTCCCAATTAGTTATCTGATCACACTAGTCAGTTACCTCAGCCACTGCAAATCAGTCGGAATTTGCGGTTTTTAAGGCTGCACTTTTGGAACTGTCCTTCATCAGAGAAGGTACTAGCATTACATCTATAACAATGAGTGTGCCGGTTATCTGGATAAAAAACATAGTTCACTTACGAACTCACCACAGAGCACGGTAGGAAGTTAACCCCTAAACGCTTCACAGTACCCCCCCCCCCCCCGTAATAAGAAGGACTAGTGTAAGTTGTCTGGCTGCTCGCCTCCGAAAGTGATTGTATGGTTGCAACTTTAGGGAAGAGGTTACATTTACTGCATTGCCCAAGCTCGAGGCTCACGTCGAGATAACAACTCTTAGTCCAGAGGTGTTCATGTCTTGCGGACCAAGTGGTTAGAGCACGAAGTTACTGACCGGAAGGTCCGTGGTTCGAACCCGACCTCTGCCACTCGACTTCCTCTGTCTAGGCTTGGGCGACCTGGCAGTATCCCAGCCCTCGTGCCTCCTTCATGTGGCATGGCAGTTAGGCACCGAAAGAGTGCTACAGCTGGACGACGTCTTGCGGAAGGTAAACAGACTAGTTATAAAAATGGATTTTCAATCAAGTTCGTTAGATAGACGAAGTATTGTGAAAAAAGTACATCAGTCGTAAGGCATATTCAACAGTCAGAAAATCATCAACGCGTAGTTCTCCAAATGGAAACTTAGCGCTCCCAGGGCAGGCACAATTCGACCAGGTCTTGTGGATGACCCCTCCAAGGGGCACCACTGTATTTTCAAGCTGGTAGTGGAGTTCTTGTTTTCACCGAAGGTTTCAGTCGTTGATTCGTAGAAAAATTTTGGGGGGATCAGTGAGCTGAATGGCGTCTTTGAAAGTCACTCATTGCTTGTTTCCACTCTGATTTCTGCGGCACCCTCAACAAAGTCTCCAGTCACGCTCCTGATATAAAACGGTGATTCATACAACCTTTCATGGTCATCCTAGAACTTACTACTTGATTACTTCCTTATTTGTCCACCAACATACGAGACAAAATAGACAAATGACATGGATTTTCTGTACCAGGCAAATACCAGAAGATGATTAGCATCGACACCGAAAAGTCAGAAAATAATATTGGGAAAGAGGAACCCTAGTCTCATGCTACTCAGCACATTGTGGAAGTTCAGCCTAACATATCCGCTTTTAACTAGGTTACACAGTTTTCAAACAGATTAATGAAGCTAGCTTGGGCCTAACGACTCGTATCGATCAGAATCGCCATTTGAGACGCTCAAAATTTATTCTATTTTTAGATTACTTCGTTTCACAACTTTTTGGAAGAAAGTTAACGACCCATCGAGAAATAAATTCATGGATTCCCCATGAGGGTGCTGAATTCTGCAGAAATTAAGTGGAAAATTTTCGTTCTGAAATCTGCTGAATTGTCCTGTATTGGAATAAGATTAATATAGTTGGCTAAGCTTGAATACACATGAAACTATAAAGCAACAATGCCCCTAACAGTTTGACCGGTCCCAGCCTTCACAAACGCAGCAGACAAAAACAGAAAAGGTAAGATTGTGAACTCAGCTATTGAACAGTGGGAGATGCCCTCTCCAGTTCATTATGAAGCCAGCACCAACATCGACTACACTTGACTCAGTTCACTGTACATGGTGTCCCGTTTACATAGCACACTGTAGCCCATTGTTTTCGTGCGCTGTGTTTATGGACGATAACCTTTCACCCACATAGAACCCCATATTAGTTCAGTCGCTTCAAATTCCCTGCTCTTGCAAACTGTTGACAAGCACAGTGATGCCTCTTTCATTGATCCTATTCACTACTGACACCATATAAGAGAGGAACTCTTTTGTGTCTGAGGTAGCTAACAAGATCGAATCACATAATTTCCGTTGTTTGAACGTGCCCTTCGCACTTCAGTAGCTCTTGTTTTGGTTTGAATAACATGATAGTACCGGAATCATCATGGTTTCATCAGGATACGCATCAGAAATGTGTGATGACAGCTTGATATCACTTTTGAGACAACCTCGTCCAACTGTCAGGGAGCTATTGTTCGTTCTGTTCCAGCAAATTCGTGCGTAAGAGCGGAGCTCACTTCTATTTCATTTCGGTGTGTCAGTAATAGACCATTTGCCAAAGGTACTTTGGTTCCAGCTGCTTCACTGGTAACAGAAAATGATTAAAAAACTGGCCATGCATTGAAGGTAGCGGTCAAACGACTTGCCGGTGTTAAGCGGCTCAACCGCCTGATGAAGTTTGGAGAGGAAGAGTTACACACTGAAGGCGGTAGATTTAGTGTTGGATGGCGGTTACACTATTCAAGCAGCGTCAACAGATATTGATGTGTTTCTTCAAAGTTATGGGAGATCGAAGTTGTCAGCATGAGTGAATGTTCGTCAAAGCTTTGATACTTCATTGAAAGACCATAGAATAGCAACTGCTACACTGCCTCTAGCATGCGACCTACCAACTCTAATCCAATTATTCAATGAAGTATGACTAGATCGCTGCATATGATAAGTCCTTGTCTTAGGTGAAACTTATACTTTGAAAATGTGAAGCCTACACCAATTCATGTAGTCACACCATCGGCTACAATGATACATTTCTGAAGTGGTAGGTGCCAGAGGAAAAGAGGCTCAAGTAGTAAGCTAACAGAGGAAAGAAGAGAGGACGGAGGACAGTTTTATCATACCCGATTGAATAAACAACTCAATGCGGCCACACTTCAAGGTGTTTTACTCGACTGTCTGGTGAGTAGGAACCAGTAAAATCTTACCGAAAGAATCCAATTGGACGACAAATCCAGTGTATGATCCGATATGTTTCATCCACGAGGTCTTATGTGATGCACTGCGACCACGAACCCTCCTTTAGTTGACCCTGTTTGTGCTATTTCTAAGCACGTTAACATTACGGTTGTCTTTTCCACAGATACCATCTTGAGAAGCCGACCAAGGTGTTCTTTTCCGGAAACAACAGTCGTTGAAGTAAACTCCACAGACTGAAACCGATTTTTTTATGGCATTTCTGACATCTATTCAGAGGGGAATAATATATGCATTTGTACGCCTACATACTTTTGTACGCTAAGAATTCACCACTACAGATGCAGTAAGAACTTGCAGGCTCGGTTTGATGCACCGCACCAACACACCCAACCCTGTATCGTATATTCTTTGCTGAGCCTGAAAGCCCTAAACGATGTATCACGGGTTTTCATGTCGCTTCTAGGGTATGATACAGTTTTTCATGGCATCATCCGACAGAAAAGGAAAATGGAGTACAACCTTCAGGGTGACGACTAAGCCACCTAGATACTACCTTCCTGAAGGAGTTGGCACCTATATATCGAATGCGGTGGTTTGAATATGAAAGCGCTTCCTTTGTGATTGGGTAGCGCACAACGTGGGTTTGTCTGGTCTTGTTGCCAATGTCCAGTGAGACAACAACTATCGATGTGTCCGGAGGCAAGCCGCTCTTAATAACCGAATATTACGTCGCTTGGACGGATGTGTCACGTGCGGACTACGGACTAAACTAAGGCATCCATTAATTGGTCAGAATGTCAGCCAATATGGATGGAGCATCTATAGCTCGCACTTTTCACCCTCTGATGAAGATTATAGCGCGAAGCTGTGGAACATTCTGTAATGACTCTAAAAATACAGTTGCAATATCCTTCCTCGCCTTGACGGGCTACCTCAAGCTACCGTGCGTTTTGATACACCACAGTGGGCAGAGCAAGAAGCCAAGGGCTGACGCAGAATTTGCACCAACGTTTGCAGTACACACTTAATACGACCAATTTTACTGGTCAAAGCACTCGTTATCAGGTCACGACTTCAGTGCCCTTAGTTTACTTTCATCACAAATTTGTCTGGAGGTTGGAAAGAAGTTATGTAATGATATAAATCCGTCCGGATGCCTCCGTATAGTCTGGCCATCCTTGGAAAAACCGGCTCCCTCACGGAAATCAGCAAATTACGCGGATGTAGCGATAAAACCCTGAAGAACTTTATCGTTGTACTATACGAACCTCCTCAAGCCGATTTTGTCTTCAAATAATGCCAAAGGCAAAAGCAAAGGCTCCAGTGCTCCAACCAAGAGAATGAGGTAAGCAGGGTGAGGCGATAAGTTGGATAGGCAGCAGCTTACTTTGAGCACAATTCAACAACTGCTTAAACTACAGGGATTTCCAGAACCACTAAATGCCGAAACCGGTCTAACTGTGATCATTCCGTTGAAACCATCGATTATAACATCCAATAGTCGCAGTGTCGCCCGCTTAGGAATCAGACGTCTTTTCCAAAAATGAGAAAAATATACATGCTCACTGAAAAGCACATGAATCAGAGAGACTTGTATTAGGTATCTATGATAATATAATATATACAGTTAGGTTACGCTGTACCTGAAGCTCGTTCGTCAAGCTTACGGGCTGAATCGGGGAAATGACTAGATTCTTCTGCGCAGGAATCCTCGAGTAATGGAACCCGAATAACTAGAGTAGCATTTGCAAGGCACGGATTTTGAACCTGTAAATCTTTCAGCCACGCGCGGACTAGGGATGGTGGAGCAGGTTGGGGCACAGGGGGCATCTCAGGGACCGTCGAAAAGCGTTCAGGCGGGTCATCTGCGGACTTGAGACCTTCAGATACATGGTGAGTAAATACCGTTTTCTGATTCACAAGCGCATCCGAAATAGGAGTCACAACACCTAAAGCTAGGATGGTTCCCTCTGCTTGTTCATGAACTGTAAGCTGCCCGGGTAGAAACGAATAAGTATGGGAGCGACGAAGAGCAAGCCACCGATCATCATACTCCGGTTGAACTCTGGACATTTGTGTTGTCGGTCGGTCGGATGGTAGACGACTAATATCGGTTGTTGCGGGTGAAGACTGACGGACATGGAGCTGAACTTGACTAGTCATAGTTGCCGTAGCTTCTTCGGGAACTTCATCAAGCTCAGAGTCCAGTGAGCTTCCCAAATGTCCGAAGACAGGTAGACAGGATAGGTCTGAGGAGAAAATAAACAGGGAATCAAATGACTTAAACAACAGAAGAGGTAATATCGAAAGGGAGATCATCCACAGCTGCACAAACGTTACAACTCTACATACAGAATTGGGTTTCCCACAAATGCCGTCAGATAAAAACGAGAGCTACTGTTGGCACAGTCGGTGCAACCGATGACTTAGCATCCTGCGCAGAGTGAGCACAATATGTGCCGATGATAGATTAGTGGAGTGAAAAACCAATTTCATCACAACATTCCCCATAACATGCTGATGGTAACGAAAAAAATCTACGCGTGTAAAATATGTTCCCTCTATTTCGCCCTTGACATAATTGGCATATGTCTGTTTGCAACCGACCTACAAACGACGGGTCCGAAAATCTCATTTTCCGGGCTTTGAAGTGAACCGACTGTGTTGAGTTGTTACATTACTGGAAGGATATTTCGTCACTGAGCAAACGAACGTGCACTGTAGCCGATTACTTACCATTCAGTATGGTACTCAAAACTTCTGCTAGTGTTATAGAGACATCGCAGTTGTTTTGCTTATTGAAGGCCAGTAGCACATTAGTCCCACGCTGAAATTTCTCCCAATATTGAACCATCTATGCAAGGGGCCAGGTTGTGTGCTGTTTCGGCCACCGCATCGGATCAAAGTTCTCTGTTTACCTACCTGTTTTTAGTATGGGGAATATTTCAGCAACTGCTGTGCTGTCCGAATGCAGGTTTCTAGAATGGATGAATGAGACGACTTGGGAGCAATAAGCCCTCTGCTGCGCACTGCAACTGGCGACTTGTTGGGACAAACCAGGCTTCACAACATGCGTTCCGCAGTGAGCATATTTGGAAGAATTGGTTAAAGAATACAAACAAACACGAATTATGGTTTTCTATCCTCTAAAGTTTTTAATTCATTCCATCCGACTTCCCGTAGACTAGTTGAGAAATCAAACACCGACGAATCAAGTAGGAGTCACAAGCACAATCAAATAATTCATTCACCTTACTTGCTCAAGAGCACATTCATCTGGGATCAGTCGGCCACATATACCCTTCAACTCAAGCTGGCTTAACACGTATGTCGCATTCCATGGGTAAGCACACAACAAAATTTTGTCCATCGTGTGCTGTCGGAAAACTAGGTAGAGCTGGCTATCTTTTGGACTGCGCACAAATCCACGTTGAAATGAAGCTCAAATATTTGGAATAACTAGTGGCTTTATTGACATCTTACCAGATGGAGTAAAAGGAGTTGCTCACCAGTCTTATGGGAAAAACTCCACGAAGAAGTAGTGCAAAGACCTAACCTAACCAACGTCATGCGAACGAACATGTAAGAACAATGATATGCAGATAAAGTCGTTTCTTAATCCCGTAAAAAAGTACCGGAAAAATCAACCTGTGCAGAAAGGGCAAAGTAAATCCAGCAACGAGGCCTACCAGGCTTCTTGGCAGTTTGATCTCGAAGTTTTGCACATTCGGCCTCCTTCTTCAATCGGGATGTGTCTAATTCCGTCCAAAGCGTGTAGTACGCGCCCTGTGAGAATATAAACAAATAAAATGACGTGTTGATGACCTACCTATACGACGATTTTTGGATCAGGCACCTTGGAAAACTTTTATAAATGGTTAAAAACTCGGAAAGTAATCCACAAGCTAATCAATGACAATACAGACGACCGACACTGGAATATGCACGATAGACGATGGTCCACTCTTTCCNCACGATAGACGATGGTCCTCTCTTTCCACAAAACGGTTAACAAGTATGTGGTCCGCAGGCTTCTTGAAACGCAATAAACTTATGGAGATTAGGCGCCATGTGGGACCGAATGAACTGATTCAAAGTGAAGTAAACCAGATGTGTCCCGATATACTGGTCACGTCGAGACCCTGAGTCGGCACCACGACCTTTTGATTACTCAACCTATCCGAGATGTCATCGTTTCGAAAACTTCTGATAAGCAGCCGGTTTGTTTAGCAAAATGTAATGAGACTATAGATTTACTTATTTGTGTATGAAGCAAGTTCCTTTTCAGCCCTTATACTAGCTATGTGAGAGCATTTCACTGTTCATTGAAATAGCCCCTGCAAAGTAGGGGCCAATCATCACAAGTGCGTTATGGAGCACTCAAATCCTCACAACTTTCTCACACAAATTATCTAACAAGTGCCTTTCCACCGCTTTTGTTGGCCATATCCACGCAGATTATCTTGCTGATGCAGAAAATGTGCACTACGTAGAAAGCGAAGCGATGGCTATCTCACATGAATTGGTGTAGCGATTTGCACTGCTCTTCGAATTTTCAGTATTGTTGGAAAAATAGGATATAAGAGGTTACCCTTATGCAAAACACCCACCTAAATTGACGAGTCTAGTGAAAACAGACGCTAATATGGTTAGCTCACCACATTGTCGCAGTGCACCCGGAGTCTTTCTACAGATGTGAAACCTGGCCGATCTGCGTGGAATATAACAGAAAACCACCTGTTATCGTCCGCCCACCTATGAACAGCACCACAAAGTATGATGAGAGCGTCGTATTTTTTGGTCAGAATTCATCGTCTGGCATTCAGAAACTCGCCACTCTCCGCTCCAGAGACCCTTTTAGATGTAGGTACCGAACAGCAAAACGTAGATTTAGATCGGCACAAGGAAGGCGGATTCTAAGACGAACGCATATTTACGGCCTTCTGAACTGTTAAACTTTTGATCCGACTACCTGTTGGTGTAGCGTACAGAGGCCTATAAACCACGTAGCTAAAGCACTCGCACACAGGGCTCCGAAATATGATCAATAAAACCTGAAGGGCGGTTCGTATTAGCTATTCATGCACGTCTTGCTATGCGGCTCGCCTCATCAGAACTGCCCCGGTAAAACTTTCGATCAAAACAGAGAAAAAAAGGAGTAAAAAACGTGACTGCTTAACTGGAGCCATCATCAACAGCATTGATGGCAATACATCAGTACTGCATACTTGTGCTTACCTGCAGCCTCTGATACCAAACGAAGTGCGGCCCATCCAGATAAATGACCGTCTTCTGTGCCGATTTACTGGTCCGATTGCCGTTGACAGCGTATGTAAGCAAAGCCATCTGTTCCGGCGTTTGAGCACTTATCATACTGGATGGTTGTTGGGAATTATCACACTTCGAGTCAGGTAACTGGTGGATAGTACAGATGAGAAATCGTCAAAATTTAGGGAATGAAATACACCACTTGTCACTGTCTGTAAATCAGCGGAATTCAGAAAGCCATCTAGTGGTGCGAACTGCGACTTATCTATCGGCAGAAACGAGCTGACATCAATACTTTTGGTGGACTACAGAATGGAGCTGACCCCATGAAGCTGTGAATGAAGTTACATTGGTTCTGGCACGGGAAATTTGAATTTCATCAACCGGGATTTAAAGTTTTTCGAGAAAAGCTCGAAAAGTCATATTAAGGGACAATGACATTTATCAGATTTTACAATCCTACTCATGAGTCCACTACGAGAAGAGCAAAACCGTGGATTTGTGATTGAAAATCGATCCGGAAAAGTTGACGTTTTATTAATAGTGTCAGCCAAAGATTTTATCTAGGAATTACGCCAACTGACTTCCAGTTTTTATTTTTGTAGAGGACGCGTAATATATGGTCCAACTTTTCGGGTTCCTGAATTTCGGTACACTAACCAAAAGGATGTAACGGACACAAGCAGTGACGCACAGTAACCAATCACGACATGACCCATTATCGACCACTGTATGAGACGACTTTGTGACGTCCCTTGTTGAGTCGTGTCAATAGTTACCATACCGCATAGGGGAGATAGCAAGACCATCGGTATTCTAAAAGGGCGTCAAAAGCTGGGAGAGCTCGTGGATTTGGTGCATAATGACCTTGTACTAGCTATGGTGGGTTCTGCCAGAAGTAGTCAGCTTTACACAATGAAGAAGTGAGGAGGGTAAACCCGAACCTGACGGGCTCAGTTAGTCCCAGTGGTAACAGATGGTAATCTTAGACCCAGCGAAGTCCAGCTGTCATGCAAGCCCTAACCCATGGTCGTTTGTAGCGTTTTCAATCCATTTTGACGCCAGAGGGGAAACGTTACTAATTCTATCCGTGTTTTGTCTTAGGAATGCATAGCTTTCCGGGCCGCGAGGGTAGAACTGTTCAGTTTTTCGATTCGTCGCCCATGTCTGGGTACAAAAAGTTCCAAATACCTGCACTCTAAAAGATATATTCCTCTCCTGATCAAAAAGCGTTGATATAGAATATTTGAAACTGGCACCAGTTGACCGCTCACACAACCCCCACATATTTTTGCAAAATCCACGAAAATTAATTTGAGTATGACGACGTGAATGGAAAATCATTTAGATTACTTTTAACCGAAGACAGCCCATCCATTGTCTAGTTACGAAATAAGTCCACGATAATAAGGATGTGCTCTAACGCCTTAATGACACCATTTCGTTCACACTCGATTAACAGTAGCTTGACCATGAGCTGAATCCTCAGGAAACCATTTGCAGTTTAGGAACTTATTTATGTCCAGCTTTATGTGGATTACAGCATGTGAGTGTGGGGCATGTTCCTAAATAAAAAATTCTCACTAACTGCATGCACTCTCATGAAATGATACCTCTAATCTCATTCTGAATGCTGATACAACAGAGGCAGTGATTCTGTACCAACCACCAGCAGATGTTACTGTGGCTATGCTACGAAGACGGCACTGTCTCCTTCCGCAATGAGTTGCAGCAAGCAATAAATACTCCAATTCGATATAACCTTGTATCGACTGACCCTGCACTAAATCGTGTGCTCGCTGTGGTCGTTGATTTCTCGCTACCATCATGTTCATATGATCCTTTCGAGCTTAGTGTTACAACAGTTCATCCCCAAAATCAACCGTTGGAGGGCTATCATCCGCCAGATTGCAAAGTTGAGCTGAGCAACCCACTTAACCGATTCCCACTTTCGCTTTTTTAAGTCTTCGTCAATTGAACTTGTCAGCGTCGACAGTGCAGCGCGGTCATGTGACGGCATATGATGTAAGTAATTTATTTACTGCCACAAGGAATTTCACCTTTAAACAATCGTCGCCCTTAATTAGTGATCCAGCTATCCTGTGCATCTTTTGGAGTAAAAAGAGGGACATGCGACAGTATCTTTTGGTCATTAGAGCGGATCACCACATTTGACGAGACTGCCTACAGTTGTTACACTCTCATATACACTATGCATTCGGTCTTAAGTGGGTCTAAACATGGCAAGCTACAGAGGTCGTAAGATTACATGCATACAGAACATTATGATCCAGAAGCGGAAAGCCCACTGTCATGCCGTGCAAGCGGACAGTTACAGACCATTAATGTATTGCGAATGGGAGCGGTAATTAGTGTAACCTGTCTTGCGAGAATTAGCATCGAGGATTTTGAATACTGCGGTGCCAAATTTCATTCGACTCAACATAGATTTTTCGTTAGATTAATAACGACTACTTTTCAACGTAGTCTATATAGCAGAGAGCAACTGCACTCAAACTCCTCATTAGCAAGTGGACTGTAATCTCGTACTTCACAGTCGGAATGACAATTTTTGGATAAGTCCAGTCTATTTCTATACGCAACGGCAGATTTTCTTCGATTTTACGTCTTCGTGATGCTCGATGGGAAAATGAACTCGTTTAGGGATATTTTTACTCTAACACACACGATCCATTGGAACTCATGATTCTGTGCTACAGAAATACATGTCTGCAAGGTAAAAACACAAAATGCGACGGGTGCAATAAAAGTTTCTGGTGCAAGCCAAATAGGAATTGAGACGTCCAGACATGCACCATGCTTGGTAAAAACACTTTCAATCAACCAAATCTCCTCATTGTTCTTACGAGTTCATTTATCCATTTCCAAAGGTATCATAAAGTTTCAAACGAATCTGATAACATGCGAGACACGATACAATAAAGGGCGGACCTGACCCGAGCCTCAATAAAGGGTCAATATGGAAGCCTCTACACTATTTCTTGAGACACGGTGCTTCCATCAAGTCTCTGTACTTGGTTCCTATTCCAAGTTGGTCACTGAACTTATATGACTCCGCGACAGGATCAACTTATGAATATGCAGTTTTGGTTGTATCTCAACTGGTTAAGAGGTTTGCGAGTTGCGTGAAGCTGCCTCATCGCTATATCAATTAATTATCAATTGGACCCTAGAGGACAGGATATGGCAACCATTAAACCAACCATTCTTAGATTGGTTGATTGTACCAACGCTTGATTATAACATATTCGCTGCACACTAACTCACACACGGCCGATTTCGTCTTAAATTTGTTGCTCATTCGGAGAACGACTAAGAGGGGCCCATCGTTTGACGGATACGGCGGATATGGTATCTGCTCACATGGTCCACTGCACAACAAAGCACTTTCGCTAACCTAACTTATGAAAGCGACTGAGCGGAGCAACTCCAAACAAATACATCGGCGGGTATCCGCATATACACTAATTTGGATTCAGCCTCAGTGGAAAACCATATATGCCAAGAGGATACCGATTGGAATATTTTGCGCACTGCGCTGCAGTATAGTGCTAGTCACGCCTAAGCAAGTGAACTAATGGCACTAATCAAATAACAATATACACATGGACTTTACCAAAAGTATCAGTGAATTCACGTACGTGGAGGGATAACTTTGGTGCGAGCACGCTCCAAATGAGAATGATTCTTTATGACCACGAAATCGGTTCGATCACAGGAATGCACAATCAGTTAAACAACGGATTTTTTGCTCATATTCATGTGGTGCTCTTATTTTCTGTAACTGTTATGCTCTCCGTTTACATGAATTACGTTGGATAAGTGAAATAAATCCGTAAAAATGAAATCAATTTTGGGATTATAATAGATACATGGCCAAACAAATTACAGAATATTTTCATGAAGTAAACTACTCACAAGATTGCTGAAAACTTTTCGACAGCCCACAACCGGTTTCACCCTTGTTGGGGCTCATCAGGTAGGCGCACTTCAAGTAGAACATAAGGTTGATGGAAACTCGGGGACTGCGCCTACCTGATGAGCCCCAATAAGGGCGAAACCGGTCGTGGGTTGTCGAAGAGTTTTCAGTAGTCTTGTGAGTAGTTTACTTCATGGAAATATACTGCGATATCTCGAATATCGTGCCAGCTGAAAGATGAGGCGGCCTGTGTGCAGCACATTCAGTTGTAGAACATCATAAACGAGAGATTCAGTTGATTCTCTCGTGAAAACCAAATGAGTGTATTCCTCGAAATTACAGAATACTTGTCTAGTTTGGTATCTATGAAAAACAGCAAAGGAGTCTCTATTTGTTGGTCGAACATGTGGTACAAGCACTGATGGACAGGTTTCCCGATAAACGTCGGGCCTCGTTTGGCTTAACTGACTACGTCTGCATTAAACACACCAAAAATGACTCTAGGATTTCCATATAGACGGATACGAGAGCCTTCGGAACTCACCAACTCACGACCAATGTGTCCATTGTTTAATCGTGACAAGCCTGAACAAGCCGAAATATACATACAAAATACATCTGGATTGTGAGGTTTTTATCACTTGAGACTTTTCTTATCAAAAAAGAACTGGCGACCTGTTTAGACAGAATACACAGAGGGGCGGTTGGTTTCGATGAAGATGCTTTATTCAAAACGTTCAAGAGACTAGGTACGAAAGACCTCACTTTCTGTTGAGGTAACTGTATTCGAGTGCATGTTTGAATCCGCAGTTTGAGAAATTGAAAGAAAAGAAACCTGGTTAGGCTCTTCAGTTGCTCAGAGGATCAGCCCAAATTTCGGAAGCACCGCTCAATCAGTTGGGACGAACACTTTTCTCCATGAATCCTTGTGTAAACTATGCAGCCAAGAACACCTGCTCTAAGTGTTCCCATGTTCCAGGGCGTAAAGGATTTAGCCAAGCAAGATTCCGATAATAGTACCTCTAGGGGTATGCTATCGAAAGGAGTCATGAACTTGATTTATAGTCCATTCAGTTCGGATTTTAACGAACAGAAGTAAACCCAACAGATCATCGTATGATATAGTGGGACACTGTAATTTCGACGTAGTACTGCAAAATCAGACTCACAAGAGAATGCGGGGATACTTACCTTGACCACACGCAATTCGGTCATTGGGTCAGAACAAATACGTTCTGCGATCAACCGAGCCAGGTGTAGAGGGTCTTCATCCAGATCGTCTAAGATATGTTGAGCCACCGGCCAAGGATTAGCATGAGCCAACTTGGGGACCCAGTACATTAGGTGGCGGTAATGCGTCATAGCGTGACAGCGCCAACCAAATATATCAATTATCATTTGACCAACCTCATCGTCTGGGATCACATCTGACAGACAGAAACGTAACAGGAAAACAATTAAGGGCTGAGTCGGTTCAAGTCATAGTAATGCTTGTACGAACGTATAGTGTGTCCACAACGCGCGCTTCATACCGCCAAGGATGGGCATAACTGCTACACTTGGGGGAAACGAATAAGGTGGGGTAATGGATGTGTGATCAAAGAGACAAAATACATAGACTGGAACGGAAGTCAAGTTTTCATAAAGAGATATCTAGTACCCAGTGTGGATAGGATCTTTTCAATTTAATGAGGGACTATTTTAGCTCATTTTACTGGGCGACGGCATAGACACTAAAATTGGTTGGGAGGATGATAGACGGGTTGACCGCACTGCATTATTTGATGGGTAGGGAGAAACTACGTGTGACGGCCGGAGAACGAAAAACTGCACGGGTGAATGGTGCTTCCCAGTTGCCTAGACCCAAGAGGGTTTAGCTGAGGCACCCTTGAGCCTTGACTCAAAAGTCTAACCCACAAGGCAGTGGAAAGACATAGGGTTTTGTTCGGAGATGTTTGCCGTAGTCTCTGACTCAAAAGTATGATCCGTGAGGTGGCGGTTATTAGGATTTTCTTTAGGGACCCTTTTCAGAGCCAATGTCTCAACAGTCTGATTTGGTTGGCTGCAAGGAGCTGGCCGGGTGACAGGGGGCCTCTTCGCAGTATGACAATTCGCTATTCTTCATCAGGTTGTTCCCCGTCGGCCCTCCAGCCAATGTAACCGCAGGATCACTGCAACCCGACTACTACGACAAGGTAACAGCTTTAGGTCGGGACGAACACGCGTAAGTTGACTTCGTTTCCAAGTCATAGACTGACCATCATGTGTTGTATCAATTAGAGACACGGTTGGACGAAGAGGGCTGAGCGAGGCAGACGATCCTCTTGCACAAGTACACGGCCTAACCAGCCAGACCTATGACTTGACCAGCTAATCTATCGAGAGAGAGTAACTTTCGTGAAAACCATCCGACGTTACCGCGGGATTACTGATATGATGTTCCATACCATACCCGCGCAATGCTTCGGAGGCACAGACGGTCAAACAGTCTTCAAAGATCTTCGAGCGTGCTGAGATCTGAATCGGGAAGCCTGACAGGCAATATAAACGTCTTACTCCTAACCCTGAATTATTACGTTTGATCAGCCTAATAGAACATCGCGGCCAGTTCATCGTAGAGATGCTTGAAACCTGCAGGACACTCTTGCATGGGTGATTTATCTCCGAACATGCTGCACATTTACTAAGGTAATCAAACGAGGAGATGCATCCAATCCCTAGGGTAATTGATATTTGGTTATGTTCATCGTTCCTAATTCATATGCGTCGTTAATCATATCACTTGCGTAAGCGATCATGTTCAGAAACTGATCGTACTGACTGGTTCTAATTGATGACTTACCTCCCGACCAGTTACCAGTTTTACGCTAGTCCGCTGATGAACAGTTCATTTATGCACTGTTAAGTTCTGTCTACGAAATATAAGACGAATAGCTAAAGTTTTTGCCGGAAATGACGCAAAACACAGTAGTGGCTTTCCAGAGTGGGCAAGATCCCAATAACCATTGCATACTGTCCGCAGACATGTCTTCACGTAGCTTACAACAAAACGAGCGGTTTCTCACACACACATACGAGGAAGCGTCTTCTGAGGTACCAAAATGTGTTTGCCATACAGATTTTCCCCTTTAGAAGTGCAAAGAGAGGATGAAAGATCGTCCATATATTTTGTACATGGCTAACGAAAATGTAGCTGTTTGCCTATGAAGGCTGCTGGTAGAGTACGATGAAACGCAAGCAGAATATACATCTAGTACAAAGCTGCTGAGATATGCATCAGCATGATCGGACGGGTAGCGGTTTTAAGACCGTCATCTAGGTCATCACTAACAAGCAATTCCCGCCAGCTACGGTGTTTCAAATGAGAATCATGACTGTTTTCTAACATGACAATTAAACAAGCGAATCATTGAAAACCCAATTAACATCAAGATGTCAGGAGATGCTTGATTCCAACTGATCAATCAAAGTCACGTCTGAAGTAAAGAGGGGCTACCATGCATCCCTGCAGAACGGCTAATTGTTGAACCCACACCAATGGCGGAAGGTGCTTCGATTATAGCGTATCTTTTTGGGAAACAGAACTGGAGAACTCCGTGCCAGACAGTTCGATGCTGTTTTAGATAGATGTACCGTATTATGGGTAAATTTACATAAACATGACAGAATGGTCAACTAACGATGCTTGCTCATCTGCTGCAGTAGTTTTATGACGGTATCTTGTTGACGAGGGAAATGGTTCCATTCGGCTTGCAGGAAACTAGTTACTACCATTCGACCAGGAGGGAAAACTCGAAGAATAGCCTTGTAACAGTCCAGATCGTCGGTGACCTCGTACTCAGGCATTCTATCCAAGGCATTCAGAGCAAACTGGTTGAAACCGCGTCTCGTTTTCCCGTACCGTTCCAAATAAACACTGATTGCGTGCTGAAACCAGGGAAAGGAAATGGCGCATAACCGTATTGGCGCAAAAATGTGAAAGTAGCAGTCTGAGCCCTTCTAGTAGACAAAAGAGAACGACCAATGCGGACGTACTCGAAAGAGCTTGCCGCGCAGTTGATTGTTCGGTTTTATGGTGCCCCTACCTAGTCCGATCGCGTTACGGAGGTAGTCTAAGTGTGCGAGGCTAATAGTGTGACACTTGTGAGTAGCGTGTTCAGCAACATGGTCGTATTAGAAAGGGTCGCTAGCAACACACGCATACTTACTCCAAGATGGCCAGTCTGTATCTAATTTGAGGAAAGGGAGTTAACTGTTGCTGACGACGGACAGAGAAAAAGGCTAAACGGTACCCCGTAGTTCTTGACCATAACTTGTTCCGATGTGGCGTTTATTTAGTGCTGGGTACCATGCATCCACTAAGAAATAAGAAACCTCAGATTTTGCCAATTCCGTCAGTTCGTTCAAGACAGGAAAAGCTGAAGGTGACTGCGAAACACTGACCTTCAGGTTAGGAGGTCCAATCTTGAAATTCGCACCATTCCAACCTCAGTACAAGTTGTTTCGGAAGTCAAGTGGTATATTATGAGCTGAGTGATGTGCAACCAGTGCGAAGTAACGAGACTAAAGCTAGCCCATGAAAACATTTTTTTCAAAATGGCGAGGATCGAACGAAAGGACCCTGTATTCAATAGCTTGCTTCAATTTCAATGACATCCTGAACTCGAATACTGCGTCCATAGTTAGGATCATAGATTCTAGTGGTCGGGTTAGCAAGGCATAAGTAAGAACGACAGGTAAGTCTATAGGTATTGTCAGAATATGCTGCCTTACAACCCTGTTTCTGCAGGATCAACACATAGTGTTGGCACAGTGTGAAGAAGAACATACCGAGAACTTGTACGACTTTTCCTATCATTGACTGAGAACTTACCAGAAAGGCACGCCTCTTTAGCCGTCGTGATTGGATCCGGTTAAGCACAGCACTGGGTTGATGAATGCACAAAGTATCATGTTGCCCAAAGTTCTGGACAGCTTCAGTCCACCTGTAAGAAACAGAGGGAAGTAATATGAATGCGACCCGACGTAACATTCACAACGTATGAGTCGAAATGTTAGTCTGAGAGACGAAAAAGGACGATCTGTTGCATGCAAACCAAGCTAGGTGGACTGTCCCTTACTATCGTGAGTTCAAAACCATTCAAACATGTGCTACCATAGTCCACAAACCTGACCCACAACTAAGGTTTTCCCAACCTTCAATTTAGAAAGGCGTCCCGTGGGAGTTGCATGTACACTCCCAGCTATCTGCATCCCCGTCAGTAACGAAATCGCTCCATAAGGGGTCAGGAAAGATCCGATCAGAAGTGGACTTTAACTGAAATGTGCTTTGAAGGACCAACAACAAGTAACATCTGCAGATAACTTCTACAAAGAGACATTCGTATCAATACATACATAGAAGTTTTTAATAAAGAACCCTATACTAACGTTCACTAGAGCATCCCCGAAGAGATGAATCCGAGAAGCGAACGAAATTACGTGGTTCAATAATTATTCACCAGGAATAAAGCAGGCATACCCGAAAAAAATCAAGACCATATGCTCAGCTAATTTAGTGATTCAAGTATCTTTAAAGCCACTGCTGAGTAGTCTAACGTGTATAATAGTCACCCGCGCAGCTGCCGTCTCTATTACTCCCAAATCATCGGGCTTTAAACGAGCCACACCTTCGCAGGAAGGTGAGTAAATAGGCCAGGATCACTAAACAGTTTGTCTTCAGGTCCTCGACTTCTGGAAAAACGAAAAGAACACAATTCCAACAAATCTTCTATTAAATTAAAGGTCCCCTACGGTTAACGCGTTTCCCCGTAGTTCGAAAAGGTCAATGTCACCTCGGAAGGCATAAGAACACTGATTTGGAATCGACAGCCTTCAGATCTGTAGAATTCGGGAGCCGTGTTGATAAAGCTCTGAAATAGGGGGATGTGCTTTGATGTGATCTAAAGAACTTGAATTTGAAGAAGTATCACGAATAAAGTGAGACAGGAAGGAATCGTATCCTTTCCAACTAAATTCCAAAGTGATGGTCGCCTATTTCACGCGGTAATTAGAATTTCGAAAAACATTCATCCTTTGTTAATCACCCTTCAGTAATACGACCCACGAGGATTGCGTTGCAGCTGTATGGCGGTAAACTCAGAGAACGCTACTAAGAACGAAGCGACTTTGGCTTATCCCGACAGTATTATTTGCCAAGATTAGTACCGCATCGTTCGTCCCTCCTCAAGCACGATATTCCAGCCGTGGGCTGTCGAAGAGCTTTCAGTAACCTTGCGAGTAGTGCATTGCGTCTATAGAATGCATCGCGGTGTCTCGAATATCTTACCAAGTGAAACATGAGGCGGCCTGGTGCAGCACATTAAGTCGCTTAGGAACATTATACACGAGATTCAGCTGGGTTCCAGGTGAGTCTCCCATCAAAACCAAATAGGTATGTAGATGGATGTAAAGGTCGGACTTAAGTGCATTTGTTCACCTATTGCCCAGTTTCGAGGACATTAGTGAAAAAATGAGACTTTCAACCCAAATACAAAGTAGTAGAAACGACTCCCGACGAATCGCTTCCATTTAAGAGGGGTTTGGTTAAGAAAAGCAGTGGATCCGTTGCCGGGCTAAACTTACTACATGGATCAAAAGACATCTCTATGTGCCAGTTTCATGGGCTGCAGGATCTCCGCGTCTAAATGTATTGAAAGACAACAGCTATAGTTTGACCTGAGTCAACTCAACGCGCATTTTCGGATTTGTTCTACAAGATTCAGAAACACTTCCAGTAAACCGTGTCACTGTGGCCTGCGGCTCTGTGCTTTTTCACGACTGTGGATGTCCTCCAGTAGCGTTCCAGGTCACCATTACCGCTAGTCGATATCTTGATTTCTTTAGTCCAACAAAGATGAACAATTTACGAACGAGGCTTCTCGTGAGGATTGCCCTAAAATAAACGCATGACAAATCGAGATTGTAGACACTATGTGTTCCGTTGTGTTAACACCCTTTCGGATGGAAGCTCCAATGGTCTCACCGTTGACATCATCTTGATATGCAAACGCAAGCCTATTAAGTGTTGGATGTACCTTTTTGAACGGATAAGCTACCTGTTTGAAGCTTCTTCCAAGTGGTTGGGCTCGAGGACCTATGGGGAAACTCAACACACCTAAACGTATGCAAACGTGAAAAGATATGTGCACCTGTCATGACCAAAATTACTGGGATTGCATTGTCGTCCTACGATACCATAAGGCTTAGGGAATTGAACAGATATACAACTTACTGATCATGACCATGGAGTCTTTCCAGTATATCTAAGGAGGACGAGATGGCTCAGTGGTTAGAATGCGAATTTACTGACCGGAAGGTCCGTGATTCGAACTCGACCTCTGCCTCTGACTCTCGACTTCCCCTGTCCAGGCTTGGGCAACTTGGCGGTATTCCAGCCATAGTGCTTCCTTCGGGTAGCATATCAGCTCATCATCATCATTATCAGTTGCAATAACCGCATACTTGTCGTAGAGTGGTTGCAGCTGCCATAATTTCGTTCACCGATGATTTGGAGAGGTCGGGTAAGTAGCTCCGCACTAGAAGCGAGAGCTGATAAATTAGGGCGTAAATTCAGCACTGTCAGTGGAGGGTGTTGGGAAGGGAGCTATGCATTGAAGGCAATAACTTGGATGCATGAGCGCCAGTGAGGGCGCGACTGGGTCATGTCTGACAATGTCCCTAACCCTTGATATGGGCCGTCTCGGAGTCCCCATCCACGAAGATGGCAATGGCCAACGCAGCTCAGTTTGCTGGAAATTACTTTCACACTTTGCTGCCAAGTCATTGTTTGACCGCCTCTGACTCTCTTCAATCCTTCACGTGGTTGTGCGAAAAGATCCCTTCGGGGTAGTCGGTCGACTGGCATACGCAACACGTGACCAAGCCGGCGCAACCTGTGCAGTGTGATCAGTTCATCTATCGAGGGTGATATATTTCTCCCGAATACCATTCGATGTACTTCAGCATTGCTGATCCGGTGTTCCCACCAGATTCGGACAATGCTCCGAAGACATCGATGGTCAAACACTGAAAGCCTTTTGACGTCCTCGGCGCGCAGCGGTCAGGTTTCTGATCCGTATAGTAATATAGAGCGCACCGCAGCATTGTAAACTCGACCCTTGACAGAGAAGCTGATGTCACACTATGCCACAGGTGTCGTAGGTTCACAAAATCTGCTCTGGCCTTCCCAATCCAGATAGAAATATCATCTTTCGCCAGACCACCGGGACTGATACAGCTTTCCAGGCAAACAAATTTGTCTACTACTTTAATCGGTTCCTCCGCAAGCATGAGGCTAGGGTTCGAGCCTACCCAGTCTTGAAGTAGCACTGTAAACTTTGCAGGTGTGAAGCGCGTGCATTGCCACGGGGTCAGATCCAAGAAGAGCTATGTCTTCTGTGTACTCGATGTCTGTAAGCGGAGGCCCAGGGAGCACTTCGACTCCACAGGCATTAGAGGCTGGTAGTGAGTCTTCCATGATCACGTCAATGACGAAGTTGAAGAGGAAAGAGGACAGCCCTGTCGGACACTACTGGATGTGGTGAATTCAGGCGATTGCTTCCCGTAGACCTTTACACGGCCGCGGGAGTTGGCGTACAGCACCTTAATGAGGGTCAAGAATTTATGGGAGCACCTGTGCTCCACAGATACCGCCAATAGTGCTTGGCGGTCCAGAGAGTCAGCGGCAGTTTTCAGATCAAGAAACACAACCATTGTTGGTTAGTGGAAGCAGTGTTGCTGCTCCAGAATCTGTCGGTGGGTGAAGATATGATCGATGCAACCTCTTACTGGACGGAAACCAGCTTGATTTCCACGGATCTGCCTCTCCTTGTGTTCGGTCAACCTTCGAAGGATAAGGCCAGACAGCACCTTCGACGCCACAACTAACAGGCTGATGCCACAGTGGTTTTCACACAGCGTCTGGGTACCCTTTTTGAAGATAAGGACAACTGTCGACATGCTCCACTCTACAGACATCTCTTCGTTCCATATAGTACCAATAAGTTTTACCAGATGGATCACCACGGATTCTCCGCCTTCTTTGAAGAAGGCCGGATACGGATCGTCCCGTCCTGTTGCTTTCTCACGTTTCAGTGAGGCTGTGTTGCAGCAGGCCAGCTGGGCATAGCAGCTGGGTGCCGAAAGGGTGATACAGCTGAACGAATTTTTTCGGTAGTTCCGGGCCGAAATCGGGTCGAAGAGTGTTAAAAAGACTGACCGCTATGTGGTGTATAATTTGGAACTTTTTATTATAAAGTCGAAACAGCTGGTGGTAAGTCGCGTGAATGACTCTTGATTTTTTCAATATCCTCCAATCTACCCAACTCAATGATGATCAAGTAGAAGTCAGCTTTGATGTGACAGCTCTTCATACTAGCATACCAATTAAAGACTGCTTATCTTTTCTGTCTTCCATTTCATGCGACGACACAGAGAACAACGTTAGCCCCTGCTGATGTCAGTACTGGTATTGAACTATGTCTAAGCACCACGTATTTTATCCCTTAAAACATGTTCTATAGACGAACTGACGGTGTCACTATGAGCTCTCCAGTATCATCCGTAGTGGCTAGTTTTTTCTTACATCATATTGAAACTAAAACCTTACGTGACTTCGCCCATTCCCCACGCACCCGGCTGAAGTACGGTGACGACATATTTACGATCATATCAACCACACAACCGAAATCCTTTCTAAACTGCTTGAGCGAACAATGCAGTAGTACACAATTCACGATTGAAGCTGAGGACCAGCAGAGGACCATTAGTTTCCTGGACTGAAAGCTTTCGGTTAACGCCAACCATGGATTCTCACTGGGAATCCACAGAAAACCTACACACTGAGACAGGTAATTACATCAAAAGTGTTAGCATCCACACTATGTCAAAGGTGCAGTTGTCGGATCGCTGACGAATCGCATTAAGAAAATATGCTCGGACGAGTGCCTACTGAACAGACGAACTAGGGTAATACAGCAAAATAAATACCCCATGAGGCCCACTGCCCAACAAACGGGAAGAACTTTACTCGGAACGGTGAGACAGGAAGACGAAAACCCGATGGTCACTGTGAGAATACCCTATAGAGTTGGCACTTCAGACGCCATTCGAAAAATACTTCGGAATTATGATATTGAAACAATTTTCCGAATCGACAGCACGTTACAATGATAACTTGTGAGGTCTACCAAATTTCCTGTGGATAGGCCAGACAGCTAGGAAACTTCATGTACGGGTCGCGGGGTAAAAACGACATGCACGTTTTCCTCCAATAAACCCAATAGAGTTGGAAAAAACTAGAACGCGATTCAGCCATTGCACCCGACGCATTTGAGTCAAACCATCAAACCGATTTCTATGGTAAACGTACGCTACAGTCAGGACTCAATACATGTAGAACGGACGTGCGCTGAGGCCTTAGAGATGAGCAAACAGCTGAAGTGCATCAACCAGCATCCCACCCTGAGCAGGCACAGCAACCAGATGTCGAGCAGGGATCTCAACAATGACGCATCACAGCCTATACAACAACAAAGAAAAGCACATCCTAATCAGAGTACATACACATGCACGCTGGCCCAATCTGACTGCCAACTGATCACAGGGATGCACCAATTAGAAGACACAGCGGTGGACCCAAATGTCGCTGCATTTTGACTCGTATTAGTTGACTGTAGAAATCCTTGAGAAAGGTCACCCACGACAACCGAAACGTCGGATTACAACCTATATCACTCCGCTGTTTTGACTTAACAATAAAAAAAATTGCACATCTTTTTAGATCTAAAAAGCCACCGTGCGCGGATTTATCATCATCGACATGTTGAACACCGGTGCTTCGCTGTCGTATAGAATGAACAGTGCCGACTGGCGCACCTGCCACAGTCGTCGTTCAGCCAAACTCCGCTTTTTTCTATGCGCGCAAAGATGCGGGAAGTATATTTTTACCAAGGCAAACAAATCACACTCTTCTCGGGCTAAAGTTTCGAAAAGTGAATAGTTTTCGAACCGGACAACGTACCTTCCTCTTGACGGCACATTCTCCGAGTGCATCCCATTAAGAGTAGCAATGCATTATATCCCTCATGAGGTTTATACTCCAACTAGATTATAGTTACACCTCACATTAACTCTGAAAACTATGGCTGGTTTTGTATTATCTAGAAATTTCTTTCGAGTCGTTAGATCTTCGCGATATACCGAAAGGTATACACAGTTCTTGGGCCACCAACGATGCATCGTTTGGGCATTTTCAACGAGAGTTTGATTGTTTCATTTTCTACGACACGTCTTGAACGACATTGAAAATGAGATAAGCAGAGACCAATCACCATATTTAAAAAATGAAAGCATTTTTATGATTCGGTTAATGATTACATGGTGAGGCAGTGATTCAACCACAGGAAGCCTGGTTGTCCGCTAAAAACAACTTACATTTTAATTGCTTCACTATCCACGTTACTTTTGCAGGCTTGGTCAGCATCTTGCTTCTCCGTTTCCCGCTTCAAACGAAAACGAGAGAAGAGTGAAAACGCACGCTGAGGACGAACAAGGGCCGCGATTTGATTGACCGACCCAATGTTCACCCACTTTACTGGAAGTTCATAGCATAAGCGTAGCATCATTTGTACATAATGGCGGGTAGCTGCAATGGGGGAAAGTCACTGATCAGCAGTGCACACCACTACCTTCCTTCAAAGTAAGAAGCAAATATAATTAGCAAATCATCACGCTTTGAGTCAAAAAGAGTGAAAGGGAGTTTGGTGTGTCCAGAGAGTAGTGGAGCTATCACTCGATGCACTTGTAGTGGGACTGTGGACTGTGCGCGGGCGCATCATGAGTGAAACAGTATCACCTTACACCCTCCGCTTTCGGGGCCAGACTGGTCCTCTGGAACCAAGTACGTCAAGCCATTCAGTCGTTGCTCCGGGAATGGTCCCTCAAATAAGCCCTGACAACCGTCGTCTCACGGCAAATATTTTTAAGTCAGGGTCCCGGGACAGAGTCCCTGAACAAAACCCGTCAGACTTTTGAGTTGAAGGGTCAGGGTGTGATGTTTTAAACAAACCCTGTTCTTCAGTTGGAGCACCTGGGAAGCTCTTCGCTCACCTGCCTTCTCCCACAGCTCCATCCAACTAGTCGAATGATGCAGTGCAACTGACCCATTTGCCAGCCCAGTAGCCATTGTTTCATGTACAGATCATCACCCAGAAAAATAAACCAAAACTGTCATTCAATGGCTTCAAAAGTTCTGATCCACGCTGCGACCTTGAATGTTCGTGTTTTATGTCAAATTGGGCAACAGGCTTCTCTTGCTGTTACTCTTCCTCTCCGATAATTGATGTTGTGTCTTCGAAACACGCATACAAGACCTCACCCTGGTCACGCACGGCAAGCCGTTTTTAGGATGACCTCAAATGTTCTCCTTTCCAATCTTGGGTGATTTGATGATCTTCAGGCAGTGGCTCACGTAAGCTACGGTGTAGGAGTTGAAAAAAAATCGTTCAGCTCCAGCACTCTTCGGGTGACCAGCTGTCATACCACCGAGTTCTGGGATGCCGTTAGGTTGCCGAAGGCTGAAAGCGATTAACTGGACTGAATCCGAGTCTTTGCCCTGTGGGGTTATCTGGCTCAATTAAGATTAATGCAAATGGATGCTGTAAACGGTGTTTATGGTATCAGCAAACAGACTACAGTTTTGGGAGGAGTGAGTTTTATCAAAATCTTCCGCGACTGCTTAGGCCATCAAGAAGGACGGATAGAGTTAACCCGGTGGGTTATATGAATGCCCGAGTTGGACGACGAAGTCCGGAAGAAGCCCAGTTAGGTAGCAGATTTCGAGTCGATACTCAGCGGATAATGGGGAGTTAACCCGGTGGGTTATATGAATGCCCGAGTTGGACGACGAAGTCCGGAAGAAGCCCAGTTAGGTAGCAGATTTCGAGTCGATACTCAGCGTACGGATAATGGGAGCGATTGCTTCAGGGGTGTGCTGATCATTGTTCGTTCCTAGCCGGAACAGACTTCTAACACATACGCTAACATCGAGCTACCCGGAGGCCACTAACCGCGAGACAATCATGGACTGGACTGGACCAGTGGCTGTCAGTTAGCGATGGAGAGTCCCTATTGGAGATTGCCGTTCATTCTGGGGTGTATAACTTGACTCAGATCATGCCATTGTTTGAGCCCAGTTATCAATTCGCTTTCCGTCAGTACCATACGTTCCAGAGAGGAGCAGTCTCCTTCATCAACTTCGACAAGTTTCAGTAGCTCAAGAGTATCAAGCTGATCTGACTAGAAAGCTACTGGAAACGAACAGTCAGGTGGATAATAGACTGCTTGGAAGTTGAACGAAAGGTATGCTCTCAGCTTTCAGGACTGCTCATCCAAGACATTTGACTGGACTAATCGAACACTGGGTATCGCCGAGTTCGGCAGATCATATTGCCACCAGAAAGGCCGTACGAGCAGCTGGAAGCTGTGATAGCACATGCAGGCCACTCCAACACCAAACAATCAGGAGCCTGGGGGATTACAGAGAACGTTAGTGGATTTTGAAGGCCCCAGGAAAAGCCTTTCGCCGCACCCTAGTTCGGTTGATTCGATCAGCCGGACAAAAGACAAACATCAGGGAAGCAATACTAGTGAAGAAAAACCGGCAATTAACTCCATTAATCGTCATCTTGAGCGACCGGCTGAACATTTCAAAGAACAGTTGAGCTGGTCTTCTTCAACACAATCGTTGAAAGAATCCAGCAGACCAGAATGGAAAACCGACAATTGTTGTGGCATGCTGAAAGGTCGTGCACCTCTGTATCTGTCCCTTGGTTTGCCGCTCCACCCAATATGGTATACCAAAAGGCACACTAGCTTCAGACAGCCCTTTATGGAAACAGGAAAATTATTACGACCTTATTTATTGGGCTACGGTAGAACGTATCGCAAGGTCGCGCCAGTCTCTGTGAGTGGACGAGGAGCGTCGAGCTAAAGATGCTCCATCCGGATTGGCTGGCATTTTGACCAATCAGGGTATGCCTTCGCTTGGTCAGTAGCCTGCACGCTAGTCACTCATGATGTTCGGTTATTAGGGACGGCTGGTCTCCGAACAACAACCAGTTGTCAAAGGCGGCAACCCTGGGATAGAAATAAGCTGTCAGTTAGCGATGGAGAGTCCCTATTGGAGATTGCCGTTCATTCTGGGGTGTATAACTTGACTCAGATCATGCCATTGTTTGAGCCCATTTATCAATTCGCTTTCCGTCAGTACCATACGTTCCAGAGAGGAGCAGTCTCCTTCATCAACTTCGACAAGTTTCAGTAGCTCAAGAGTATCAAGCTGATCTGACTAGAAAGCTACTGGAAACGAACAGTCAGGTGGATAATAGACTGCTTGGAAGTTGAACGAAAGGTATGCTCTCAGCTTTCAGGACTGCTCATCCAAGACATTTGACTGGACTAATCGAACACTGGGTATCGCCGAGTTCGGCAGATCATATTGCCACCAGAAAGGCCGTACGAGCAGCTGGAAGCTGTGATAGCACATGCAGGCCACTCCAACACCAAACAATCAGGAGCCTGGGGGATTACAGAGAACGTTAGTGGATTTTGAAGGCCCCAGGAAAAGCCTTTCGCCGCACCCTAGTTCGGTTGATTCGATCAGCCGGACAAAAGACAAACATCAGGGAAGCAATACTAGTGAAGAAAAACCGGCAATTAACTCCATTAATCGTCATCTTGAGCGACCGGCTGAACATTTCAAAGAACAGTTGAGCTGGTCTTCTTCAACACAATCGTTGAAAGAATCCAGCAGACCAGAATGGAAAACCGACAATTGTTGTGGCATGCTGAAAGGTCGTGCACCTCTGTATCTGTCCCTTGGTTTGCCGCTCCACCCAATATGGTATACCAAAAGGCACACTAGCTTCAGACAGCCCTTTATGGAAACAGGAAAATTATTACGACCTTATTTATTGGGCTACGGTAGAACGTATCGCAAGGTCGCGCCAGTCTCTGTGAGTGGACGAGGAGCGTCGAGCTAAAGATGCTCCATCCGGATTGGCTGGCATTTTGACCAATCAGGGTATGCCTTCGCTTGGTCAGTAGCCTGCACGCTAGTCACTCATGATGTTCGGTTATTAGGGACGGCTGGTCTCCGAACAACAACCAGTTGTCAAAGGCGGCAACCCTGTATGGGATAGAAATATGTTAAAAGGATAGGTCACCTGACCCGAATGGCCTTCAAGTAGCACTCTTCAAAGGTAGTGAGGTCCTGATGAACAACCTGACACCCCTCATCATCATCATCATCATCATCATCATCATCATTTTTGAACCCAGCCTGCTTCGTGTGGTACGTTCGAAATCGGTTCCCTCGTGCAACTTTGTGGAAGAATTTTTCCGTTTTTCAATCTATTCACAGAGCACACACGAGTAATTTTGAATTTTATTACTCTAACAAATCATTTGAGAGATAACCGTTGATATTTTGCGCATACTTCCTACTTTACATCTAGTCCTAAACATGACATCAGTTTATACCAGTTGCCCTCTGCAGCCATTGATAGACCAAAAAAGATGTGGGCGAAATGGCTGCCCGTTGAACGTCAAACGCGGTATGAAATGCCACACCTGCAAGGCCTGGTGGCACTTCAAATGCACGGGTTAACAGGACGACCAGATAAGCCGACTAGCTAACTCTCCTGAACCGTTTGTCTGCGCCAGCTGCCTCTGCGTTAAGGGTGCAATCCATACCACAGCCGAGAGACCCCCCGAAAACAGTACCCATTCCCCACTGCAGATTCAGAAAGATCCATGTCAGTGTTCCGCTTTGAACGGGGTACTCGGCGCGAAATCGGAGCGTCTTTCAAAGACACCGGAGGACTCAGACACTAAGAATGCGGCGACCTGAACGAAAGTTGACACGGGACCTTCTTCGCTGGACGAGTACCCCGCGATATCCACGCCGGGCCCTCTGGCTGCGAAGAACGTAATACAACTCTCTGACGCGTCTATGAAGACCGCCACTGCGTCTTTAGTGGACATACGCCTAAGGGGAAACAGACTGATAATCTGGGGTTCATTCTCCGGAAAAATCACGCCAGCGAAGCTGGCACAATCAGTCCTCAGCAATGTCCTCACCAAGCCTGACCAATCGCTCCACGCAGAATGGTCACGCCAGAAGGGAAGCAATCGAACTCTTGGACTTCTTGTCACTCTCTCTTCCCCATCTGACGTATAGAAGATCTTGGAGCGGACTGGCAGCATTCAGATGGCCAACCCAATGATCAGGCGCCTATCTGAGGATCGCTCTCTAGAGGAGCGAAAGCTTGGTCACAAGAGGTCAGGGGCGGAGGCACGAAACGGGCTTCTGCTGGGCACCAATTCAGACGACCCAAAACTCATTACCAAGCCTATTGTGGTCGTAGCCCCTTGTGCTTCCGAAAGCAGACCGACCAGTTGCGTCTTAGGACAGCAGTTTTTATTCGACCACCACAGGCCTCAAGCCCACCAAAGGCAGTGATGCACTGGAGGGGGAAAACCTCTCATGCAAGCAAAGTCCAAAGTACGTGGAGCTATCAACGCTTAACTCCGTAACAGACAACACAGCCGCAGCCATGCACTCCTCAACAAAGCCACAGCCTCTGAACTGTACTGAGTCAGATGTGCGGGGACAAGCAGCGAAGCCAATCTTCAGCTCCACTCCATCAAAAGCGGCCTCTGCTTGTGGACACAACCGTTGCCCAGCACCCCGACAATCTAAGCAATAAACATGACCGCAGCCATCCGGAAAATCCCTTGTACATCAAGTTGGCCACGCTGATCGCCGGTGGATCGAATGTCCACACAAACACGAAAGAAGAGCGACTGCAGCCAAACAAGCCACATAAAATTCGCCAGATTAGAAAACTGCTGGCTGGCTTCAAGGTGCAGTCCTCTGCGATAACGAGCTCTTGGGAGTGCCACCAAAATAATTACTTCTTTGTGCCACCACCCCGCGCCCAGAGCCTTGCAGAGACACTTATCCGGTCAAACAGCGCCAAAACACCCAAGAATCCAGGAATGCGAAAGCTTGCCGCAAATCTGTGATCAACAGTAAATTTAGTCGCCAAAATGGGGTTGCTGAAAGAGCTACAAACAGCAACGGTCGACATTTTCGCCCACGGGAAAAACTTCGTCCTCCAA